CAAGAGGTGAAAGCAACTCAAATTTCCATGAATAGATGAATGGATAAGTAAAATGTGGAATATGCATGCTATGAATGTTTTTCAGCCTTAAAAGAGAAGGACATCTTATCACAATATGGATGAGCCTTGAGGACATTGTGCTAAGTGAAATAAGGCAGTTGCAAAATGACAAATACTGTACAATTCCACTCATATGGGGTATATCTAAATAGATTCAGAGACAGAAAGTAGAATGGTGGGAAGTGGCAAGAGGAAGTTTAATGGGTATTCAGTTCAAATTTGCAAGATGATATGGATCTGAAGATCTGTTTCACAACAATGTAAATATGTTTAACACTACTGAACTACTCACCTAAAAACAAGATGGTAAATTTTACTTTTTTTTTTACCACAACATACATACATATACAGTATATATGATTTTCGAAATAAAAAGGGAATATGTGTCAAAAGTGATTTTACAGTAGAGACATCATTTCAATCCAATAATCAAAGTTATCACCAGTAATGGGACACACTGAAATCTCACACCACTTGATAGCATCCAATGAAAAGGAGACAGAGCCACTTCTGTGGTTCCTGCCAAAGATGTATAACCTAGATCTAATCATGAGAAAATATAAAACCAACCCAAATCAGAAGACATTCCATAAAGTAACTGGTCTATATAATCTTCCAAAGTGTCTTAATAATCCACTTTCTTCTTGATTCTGAATTTTCTCTTGGGGGTGGGGAGGTTTTAGAAGTTGAAGGATAGGTAGGGCAAGACAATAGTGTATGAAGAACACACACCAGACCCCAACAATTTTACAAATGATAGCAGTGAGGCTCCAGAAAGAGAAGGAGCCTGGCTGAAGGCTACACAGCACACGTCCAGATGCACCACTTTTCCACAGCTATGTCAACAGGGCTAAAGCCCACAGCCTCCAGCAGCCATGAAAAACCCTTGTTCTAGCTTTGATGCTGCTTCCCAACCACCTAGAAACTACTCACCCTCATTGTCAGCTCTGAACCAGTGGTTCCAAATTCTGCAACACAGCATCCCTGTGGTTAAGCCCCTTAAATCCCCAAATAAAAAGGCCTCATGGCAAAACGGCCTCTGGTGGTATCATGGGAGTTGTCAAGTGACCTGTCTCACCCCTGAGACTTTCCACAACTGGAAGGTACAATTTTTCCAGGAGTTGTATAAAAGGAATGAAGAATTTAAAGAATGTTTTTGCTTCCAATCCCAAGATGTGATCTTAAACACTTCCTATAACAAACTCTGGCAATATCTCCTTGTGTTTATTTTTCAAATGGGTTTTTTTCATTTTCCCCCAAACAGTGGAAGCTGTTCATGCTAGGGCTATATTTTTGGCTCAAGTGGCCTGGGTGTGCCTCTCCAAGTATGACTATGCTTATTTACATATGGAAAATCATTCCAGAGGGTGATTATATTCTCTCAGACACAGTTGCAGGGTTGTGTGTACTGAATGGTGAAAACAGGTGGCTCATTTGGGATAGATGAGTAACGATGGTGTGGCAGCACACGCTGCAACTCTGCCTGGAAGGGCACTGGGTGCAGAGAGAGCACATGCATTTCCTGGAACAACGACCTGGTAGCTGAGTGAGGTTTGACAAGGCTTTTGCCAATCTAGGCCTCAGGCTCCTCATCTGTCAAATGAGGATAATGCCAGAAAATGCTTTCAGGACAAGCCATAGCCTCTCTAGAGTGCCTCATGCAGTGCCTGGCACACAGCGGGTGCTCAATACCTGGGCCCAGGCCCTTCTACCTGGTGGCAGGTCACTGTGGGTTTCCTGAACCTTGGATCTGGGCCCAGGTGGGCAGTAAGGACCTCTGTGGCACTGAAAGCAGTTTGTTGCTAACACTATACCAAGGGGTGTCATGTTTGCTCCTTTTGCACGAGCTTCTCTCCCAAATCATAATTTGTCCTCCCCTGCCTGATTCTGATCCCTGTTCCATGTTGCAGAGTGTATGTGAGGCAGCCTTAAGAACCACTGCTCATTCTGAAGCTCACGGCCTAGAAGCTGGGAGGCTCTCACACACTTAGAAGCAGCCACAAGCCTCCCCATACTGCCCCCACTCATTCTTCCAAACAGCACCCTCACCCACAGCACATGTTAGTGCTTTTGTTGACCTGCTCTGCTCTCTCCCTCCAACCTGCCCTTACATGTTGACATTAACCATTTCAGAAGAGTGTAGAGTTTGGGCAGGATGTCAACCAGGATGCCCCCCCCCCCCACACACACATCACTCAGGATGGCCTTTTGCACTGATTATGAAGACTTAGACTTCCAAAGATTCGGTTTCCTATTTCACTCTAAGGGAAAGAGAGTCTCTGGATGGCCAAATTGATCTCGGTCAAAAAGGTGCTAATAACATCTAACATGTATTGATCACTTACTGTGTACCAGGGACTTCACAAGTGTAACCCAAAAATAACTGGAGACCCATTCTCTGCTTGGTTACTGAATTCAAAGAAACAGCAGTACCACATAAAACCATAACTAAGAGCTACACAAATGTTTACTTGGCTTCTTCAAGAAAATACCAAAGGAGAAACATATTCTCAATGCACAGAAAAAGTCTTTGGAAACCTCTTTAGACATTTCTCGTTCTCAAACTCTTCTGTCTGCTAAATGATGGCTTCAGAAAAAGCTCTGCTTTTGCTCTGCTCCCCTCAAGATTTCGCGAAGCCCAGCCCCCATGTTCTCCCTCCAGCACCCTCACTCCAGGGTTGCCCTTCTAGTCCATTTTCTCACCTGCCACTCCCCTGGAAAACATGTTCTACCTCCTATTCTGCAAGTTTTTTTCTCTCACTTCCCAGGAAGCAGGGCCCTGGGGTCTGGGTGAATAAAATCCTACATCTTGCTACACATGTACCACCTCTTTTTTCTTTTTCTTTTTCTTTTTTTTAACCATTTGTCTAGTTCATGCACCACTTCTTTTAATCCTCAACAGCCATTAAATGGCAGAGCTGGGATCTTAACCCAAGGTCATCAGACTCTGTAGTCAGATGCTTAGCAAGATGGCTGTCACAGAATAAGCACTCAATAATAAGTTTCTCACTCCTTCTCTGGTCATGTCATGTCATGTCTGGTCAAGAACCTTCAAGGGCTGTAGGGATCAGCAAACTATGGCCCGCAGGCCATTTATTTTTATAAATAGTTTTATTGGAACACTAAAGAAACTGTATGGCCTAAAAATCTAAAATAGTTATTATTTAGCCCTTTATAGAGCTTGCTGACTCCTAGCCTGGAGAATAAGAGAGGACAGAGACTGCCTCTTAATCTCTTTTGGATCTGCTATATAAACAAAGTATAGTATAGTATACTATATATTTGTATAGTATACAAAGTATAGTATAACAAAGCAAGTATAAACAAAAGTAAATAAACTTCAAATGAATGAATAAGATGTCCATACCTACATCTTGGAGCCACAGCCCTAAATGCAAAGACAGCCCTAAATATAGTCAGACACCCCAATTTACCTGGTCCCCAAACAGTGCCACCTCATCCTTGTAGGTCACAGACAGCCTTTTCAGAAATGCTGCAGGCATCACAGTCTCCTTGACCATCTGAAGCTATCAGAGAAGCCAGAGATGATGAGTCCACTACTTCTCTATTCTTTTACATCCACACCCTCTTCTGAAAGAAAAATTCCATACCCCTTCTTCTTTGCTGTGCAACATGAGAAGTTTTCTTTTAAATACAACAAACAAAATTATAATGTTGAATATGCTTTTCAAACTATACTCACCTCTTGTGAAAATCATTGATCTTGTCCAACTCGCTCACTTTGCCACTAGGGAAACGGGTGCAGGTGAAGGACTCAAGGTGCTCAAAGGGGTCCAGTGACACAGAAACAGAGCCAGGCTCTGTTCTCAGGTGTTCTTCCCAACCTGCTCCTTGCCACATGGAGTAGGTGAGTGTGTGGGGTGGGGAGGGATGGGTGGAAGAGGGCTCCTGTCTCTCCCTGTGGCCCCAGGTCAGGCTCATGTGCTGCCGTGACCTCTACCAGGCCCCCAGTGCTCTCACAGCTAAACTATGGAGCTTCCCAAGGGAGAGAGGTGATTTGACCCAGTGTTACCAACAAAGAGAGTCGGCCCAGGTCACTAACAGGTAGCCACAGGTTTGGGACCCCTCAGAGGGGCCAAGGAGCCCTCTGTAAGTCCGACCTACCACCTTCTTATCTCTGGCTGCCTCTTCTCTCTCAGGCTGCTGGCTCCCCATCCTCAACACCCAGAATGCCTGCTCTTGTCATGCTGCCCATCTATCTCTCTCGCTCCTTATACCTCCCACCCCCACCCCACCCCCAGTCACGCCTCCTCCAGTCTCTGGCAACGCCCTGTCAGAGGGGCTTGATGAGCACTGGCAAACCAGCAGCTTGTAGGTCCAACACAGCCCACGTATGTGTTTTGTTTGCCTAACATGGTATTTTAAAAACAATTTGAATTAGTTGCTCACATTTAAAAACCAGTAGGAATCATCTAAAATATTGGGTTTCTTGGTTCTCTTAAAAAATCTAAGGACTGTCAGTCAGGGGCCTGCATTATTTCCTGGCATGGCATCAATTGAGGAGAGGGAGCAGCTGTTCCATCTGGATGGGGAATGTGCACACCAGTCCCCACCGTTGCCTGTTGCCTGCCCAGTCCTTCTGCTGCGCTCCTTTAGATGACCTGTGTGGCCTCTGCAAGGCATTTGAGTTTGCAAATGGTCTGGTCTTGCTCACTTTGATCTGAGCCCCTCTGTGCCTCCCGTCCATCTCACCCAGTAAGACCCTCCCACCCTGAGACCATCCCCAGTGCTTACCCCATCCACACCCAGCCTCCTGACCATCCACTAAGCCCCAAAAGTGTCAAGGGAGACAGTGCCTGAGCTGCTGCCCCCACACATCTCTCTGGACCCACAGCCCCCAGGAGGCCCCCACTCTAAGCCCCACAAGTCCCATGGTGGTCACTCAGGAAACATGGTGACCAACCCATCTTTTATTGGGTCTAAACAAGGACTCCTACATTCTTATACTGAGGCAGGAGTTCTTGGATTTTGTACCGGGGGGCTGTGATGACTTGGACAATCCTCAATGGGGGGAGGTATTTCTGGGGTGCCATAAAAATGGGATAACAAGGTTTAGTCTCCTTGTCGAGGCCACACAAATCCAGCACCAAACTCGTGGGGTTGTAGATCCCTTTCTTCTTGGGCCGGATTGGAATGAATGATGGACGCTGGCGAGGCTTCAGCAGCAGCCGCATCAGGTCCTTCCGAAAGATATTCCAGCTGTTCTCCTGGAGGAACTTCTGGCACATATCTTCATCACTGAAGGTAAGACACAGATGCTGACATTCCCACACCTGCTCCTCCTGTCCCCCCTGCCCCTCCAGCCTTGCCTCCTGCCATTCTTTCAATTCCTAAACATAGTGTGCTCCATCCCACCTGTGTGCCTCTTCCAGACTCCTCTCTGCCTTCTCTACCTTTCCACACTTTCTTCCCCTAGACCTGCACTGTCCCGTGCAGTGGCCATGAGCCACATGTGGCTACTAAGTATGTGATATGTGGCCAATCTGAATGAGGGATGTGTTGTGAGTGTAAACTACACACCAGATTTCAAAGACTTAGAACAAAAACAAATGTAGAGAATCTCATTAAAAATGTTTATGTTGATTACGTGTTGAAATGGTAATATTTGAGATACACTGAATTCAATAAAATATATCTTAAAAGTTAATTACACTTCTTATAAAGTGGCTACTAAAAATTTAAATTATATAGGTAACCATTTTCCATCAAAGAAATGTAAATCAAAGCCACAATGAGATACCACTTATGCCCACTAGGATGGCTATAATTTAAAAAACAAAACAAACAAACAAACAAACAAACAAAAACCGGATAGGGGTGCCTGGGTGGCCCAGTCAGTTAAGCATCCAACTCTTGATTTTGGCTCTTGTCACGATCTCTCAGTTCATGAGATGGAGCCCCACACTGGTCTCTGCACTGACAGTGTGGAGCCTGCTTGGGATTCTCTCTCTCCCTCTCTCTCAGTCCCTCTCCTGCTCGTGCATGCATGCATACACATGCATATATACTCTGTCTCTCTCTCAAAATAAATAAACTTAAAAAATAGATAAAAATGTGTAATAAAGTAGAGATATCAAAACAAGGGTTCTGGTACATTGCTGATGGGAAGGTAAACTGGTGCAGCCACTTTGGATAAGAGTCTGGCAGTTCCTCAAAGGTTAAACAGAGTTAACTTACCCAGCAATTTCATCTGGTATAAACCCAAGAAAAATGAAAACCTTTGTCCATGTAAAACCTTGCACAAGAACGTTCACAGCAGCATTATTCATCATGGCCAAAAAGTGGAAACAACCCAACATCCATCCACTGAGGAGTGGATAAAGTGTGATAGGTACATGCTATGGAATATTATTTGACAACAAAAAGGAATGACAATAAACAGTATATGCTACAACATGGATGAAACCTGAAAACATAATGCTAAGAAGCTAGTCACAAAAGACCATACATTGAATGACCCCATTTACACAAAATGTCCTGAACAGGCAAATCTATAGAGACAGAAAGTAGATTGGTAGCTGCCTTGGACTGGTCTTGGTGCCCTGGCTCTACTCCATCGCCTTCCCTCATAGCATGGGAGGGGGAAAAGAGTGGGGGAAGGGGAGTGGGCTCAGCACTCATTGGTTTATTTCCTTCTGAGACCACAGCAAGGCAAGGGCATGTTCTATTTCTGTTGACTTGCCTACACTCTCACCTAGGAAGCAAGCCTAATAAGTCACTAACAAATTAGAACATTCTTCCAGCTACATTATATTGACCAGAAGAGAGTCAACTTTGATCCATAGACACCAACTCAATAAAAAACCCAGAGGTCAGAATGGGCTACTAGCTAGGCCAGTGGTGTGCCAAAGTCAGCCCCTCTCAGCTCAGAGTGCTAATGACATGCAACTCTCCTCAAGCCCATGTTCAGTGACACAGGGTTAGGAGCTCAAAATTGGCCATAGTGGGAGTATACACACCACAGAAATCAGTAAACACTTCAAATCAGGCTTACTTCCCACCCACCTCCCAGAGAGTCAGTTGTTAAACATTCACCAGCACAGCACTGGATAGTCTCCACTTAAAAAGTTCCACTAACTCCTGATTTCTTCCATAATAAAAACAATATCCAACTCTGACTTAGCACGTCTCACGGGCCAAGCACTTTACTCGCTAACTCGTGTAATCCTCACAACCACCACATTTCAGAAACATGGAAACTGGGGTTCAAAGATGCTACAGGACTCACCAAAACCTATGAGGGGCAAGCATGTGATTATAGATTCTTAGGGGGAGGGGTCTCTTTTTTTGCGGGGGCGGGGGGACACCCAGAGTCCAAGTTAAGACAGACAAGATTCCTTGATGCTGATGGGTCATGTTGATTTCTAGTTTAGTTTTTCACAAAACAGTGTAGCTCTTCTAAAAGCCTCAGCTTTGTGCAGGGGATTTAGTTTCATGTGTCCCTGCAGGTGTAAAATTCCAGCCCCTGATGCCCTTAACCCCGAGTCCAGCCCACTCCCGCCAGGCAATCCCACACTAGATCACACTCTGTGCTTTGGCTTTTAGGCTCTACTTCCTTTTGGCCCTTGGAGATTTCCCTTCTGTCTTGGGAACTCAGCTATATACTCATTACATTCCCCACAGCCCTCCCTACGCCTTGCAGGGGGAGATGTGTCAGGTTATCTAGCCTGTGGCATTCACAGGACAGGCATCCCACGGGCACTGACTGTCATCTTCAGGATGTCACGTCCCCTTTCCGGGGCTTCACAGTCCTCAGTTACAACATGGAGGATTTGAGCTAGATAATGGATATGTTTTCTGCCTGCTTTAGCAGTCTAGAAACCAGGAGTTCAAACACTGAATGAATAAGCCAGAATTCCGTCTGTCAGCATTGCGGATCACTGCAGCGGAGTGCTGACTGGACAGCACAGATGCTGAGTGCTCAAACATCTGCCACCCTCTTCAAGTCCACGGAAACCTTTTCTGAATTTCAATTCTATAGGCATTAACTGATACCCATCATATGCCAAGCATCACTTGAGGATCTAGTTCTCCTAAAATCCTTTTTTTTGAGTAGGTGGCTCTAACTATTGTGTATTGGTTGTACACAGGAATTGGAGAATTGTGGCATCTTTGAACTGCAAGGGACAACCAGTGCTTCTCAACTTGTTTTTCACACAAAACTGCCCCAATTTGGGCCATATCTACATATCACCTGTTCTTTAATTTATTAATAACTTTTCTTAAATCTGCCATGTTTCTTTTACTTAAATATTTACTTTGGCCTTATTCTCAGCAACAAGATCTGTCAAACCATGAGTTTAGTGAACTAGTCATGTTGTTTTTCTTTTTCTTTTTAAAAAATTTTTGTTTATTTATTTATTTTGAGAGAGACACAGTACAAGTTGGGGAGGGACAGACAGAGAGGGAGACAGAGAATCCCAAGCAGGCTCCATACCATCAGCACGGAGCCCGACATGGAGCTTGAACCCATGAAATTGTGAGGTCATGACCTGAGCCGAAATCAAGAGTTGGACACCCAACCAACTGAGCCACCCAGGTGACCCATCATGTTGTTTTTCTAATTCATACTAGAATAAGTACATAGCTGTGAAAGCTAAAAATGTCAATTAGTATACCAGCTAAAATCGTCTTGTAAATCTTCTGTGCATACGTTCCATACTTGGGAAGAGACACTGGTCTAGTCTCATTTTCTTCTTTTGCAGAATGAAGTCTGACTCTGAGGAGAGGAGAAATGACCTATCCAAAATCATACAGATCCCACATCGAATTCTTTCACATGCTTATTGGACATGGCTGCAGTAACTCTACAGATCTGCTTGCCTTCACACCTCCTTTTTCCTTACCACTAGGAACCACCTGCTTCCACACCTGTCAGCAAAACCATGTCTGACCGCAAGAAAAGAGAAAAGGGGGAGGATGTTAAATTGCATAATCGGTATAATCTCCATTATGAAACTTTGTGCACCTGAATGATAAATGCATACTTAGCACATATCCATGTAGCAAAAAAAAAAAAAAAAAAAAAAAAAAATACATACAGTAAAAGGAAATACACAAAATGCTAACATGGGGTTGTTGGAGGATTGCAAATGGTTCTAGTTTTCACTTTTTAAAACACTCAGCATTTTCCAGTTTTCTGCAGTGAGAATGCTTTATTCATACACTCATTCATTCATTCATTCATTTATTGTATACCTACCCTGTACTGGGTACTGCATAGGTAGATGTCAGACATGAAGGGCAGGGAAAGCCCAGTCCACGCCTTCATGAAGCAATTAATCAAGTGATGGGGAAAGAACTGTACAAACTACCCAGCTCTAAACAGTTATAGTTCAATACAATGGTCAATGGCAGAGCCCTGTAGAGAGTATCAGGAAGGGATATTTACACCAACCTGGGTTAGTCAGGGAAGCCTTCCTGGAGGAGATGAATCTTAAAGAATGAGCAGGAATTTATCAGAAAAAAAAAAAAAAAGAGTGGCAAGACTAGGGGATGGAATTTCAGGCAGAAGGGGCAGCATTGGCAAAGTCAAATATATACAGGGTCCAGGAGGCAATCTACCTGAGCTGCCAGAGTGGGTTACAGGCGGCCAGAAGTGTTGCAGGGGAGGTGAAGGGTCACACCATGAAGGGTCACATACCCGGCACTGAGTCTGCATTTTATCCATAAGCAGTGAGATGCCACTGAAAGGTTTTAAGGAGTTTAACACGGCCAGATTTGGGTTTTCGCAAGAGCACAGTATGCAGAAAGGATCTAGTGGGGAGGAGGTGGAGGAAGGTGGCCCAGTGGTAAGACCAGGAGTCTAAGCTGGGGGCCCCAAAGTGGGGATACAGAGCATGTCACCCAGGGAGGTGAACAAGATCTACTGGGTTGTGTGAAAAAAATAGTAGGACCTCATTCATATTTACTTTTGTCTTATTTCTTAAAGATCTATTTCGGTATGTCAATAATGTATATATTAATACAGCAATATATGTATATAACAATAATAATTAATTAATACATGTTATTCATATTCACATATATATCCTAGGGGGTATATAGTCAAACACTTTTTAGTAATAACAGTGTGAGATCAAAATAGTTTTGCAGGGCGCCTGGGTGGCTTGGTCGGTTAAGCGTCCGACTTCGGCTCAGGTCATGATCTCACGGTCCGTGAGTTCGAGCCCCGCGTCGGGCTCTGTGCTGACAGCTCAGAGCCTGGAGCCTGTTTCAGATTCTGTGTCTCTCTCTCTCTCTGCCTCTCCCCTGTTCATGCTCTGTCTCTCTCTGTCTCAAAAATAAATAAACGTTAAAAAAAAATTCAAAATTGTTTTGCAACTACTGGTCCAGTTAATTTTTACATAAAAAAATAAAGGGTTTTTTTCATGTTATATAAGTGTTCACTCTGGAAAATTTGAAAACAAAGGAAAAGTAAAAAATAAATCTTTTTATCAAATCTTTCAAGATAGATATTATTTTTTTTAATTTTAAAAGTAATATATCATCATTACCAAACATTTGGAGAATAAAGAGAAAAACCTCACTTGGCATGCCAGTATCCTGACAACAACTTTTTTTTTTCAACGTTTTTTATTTATTTTTTGGGACAGAGAGAGACAGAGCATGAACAGGGGAGGGGCAGAGAGAGAGGGAGACACAGAATCGGAAGCAGGCTCCAGGCTCTGAGCCATCAGCCCAGAGCCTGACACGGGGCTCGAACTCACATCAGCCCAGAGCCTGACACGGGGCTCGAACTCACGTACTGCGAGATCGTGACCTGGCTGAAGTCGGACACTTAACCGACTGCGCCACCCAGGCGCCCCATGACAACAACTTTTAAAAAATATTTCTTTTCTTCCCTCATTATAAAAGCAATGCATATGCATTGCAAAAACAAGTATGAGAAGAATATGTAACGATAACTGGGAAGTACCTTTTAGTCTCACCTTCCAGACAGAATGACTCTTACAAATTTGGCAATATTACAGAGGTTACCATTTTTGCTATTTCCTTCTAGATTTTTCTCTTGTGTTTTACAAAGACATAGCCATAGTATATATACAAGTTTGCACCTTGTCCTTTTCATGTATCATTATATCATCTATTTACCTTCCTGCTACAGAGCCATTAAATTTACAAATAAAAACATTTTTTTAAAGTTTATTTATTTTTGGGGCGCCTGGGTGGCGCAGTCAGTTAAGCGTCCGACTTCAGCCAGGTCACGATCTCGCGGTCCGTGAGTTCGAGCCCCGCGTCGGGCTCTGGGCTGATGGCTCAGAGCCTGGACCCTGTTTCCGATTCTGTGTCTCCCTCTCTCTCTGCCCCCTCCCCCATTCATGCTCTGTCTCTCTCTGTCCCAAAAATAAATAAACGTTGAAAAAAAAAATTAAAAAAAAAAAAAGTTTATTTATTTTTGAGAGAGCACAAGCGGGGGAGGGGCAGAGAGAGGGAGACTGAGGATCCAAAGTGGGTTCTGGGCTGACAGCAATGAGCCCAATGTAGGGCTTGAACCCACGAATCACAAGATCATGACCTGAGCCGAAGTTAGATGCTCAACTGACTGAGCCACCCAGGCAACCTAAACTTACATTTAAAAAAAAATTTCTAAGCATTTATTTATTTTTGAGAGACAGAGAGAGACAGAGCATGAGCAGGGAAGGGTCAGAGAGACAGGGAAACACAGAATCTGAAGCAGGCTCCAGGCTCCCAGCTGTCAGCACAGAGCCCAACGCAAGGCTCGAATCCACAAACCATGAGATCATGACCTGAGCTGAAGTCTGACACTAAATTGACTGAGTCACTTAGGTGCCCCTAAACTTAACAATTTTTTCAATAAAATGGTTATGCTGTATAAAAGAAATGCACCACAATTTCTAAACTATCCCCATAGTATGACATGTGTGGTGGTGGTAGTGGTTTTTCTATTATGAATATGCCTGCCATAAACATGTTAGCACAGGTAGCTTTTCACATAATTTAATTATATGAAGATAAATTCACAGGTAGACCTTTACTTCAAAGGGTATGGTCCTGGAAACATAATGCTAAAATTATTATCAAAAGGATTGAGACAATTTAGGGGGTACTAACAACTACTGGTCTCATTCCTCCCTTTTCAGCACTAGATATTAGCACTTTTTTTTTACTTTTACTAAAATAATAGGCAAAAACTTGTTTATTCAATCTAATGGGATGTATGCACATTTCCAGCACTGACCTGGGGTACTTGATCTGGAATCTGTACAACTTCTCTTTTACCTCGCTGTCAATCAGTTCCCAAAATTTTTCTCTCCTTATCCGTATCACCTCGGCTCCCAGGCTCACAAGGACCAGGGGCCGCATGTCACGCTGGTTCTCCGGGAGGAGGATCTGGTGAAGGCCCTGGAGAACAGAAGTCCCAGAAAGCTCAACCTCAGAGACCGTCCACTTCTACCAGCAGATTTTCTAGATGGGAAAAACGAGGCCCCACAAAGCAGACGAATCCATCTGGGGACCATTCTGCAAGTGATAGGGGAAAGTCCAGGGTTCCTTTTGCTACATGACATCAAAGTCCGCTGGCTGATCAGGTTAGAAGAGTCTGTAGGTGCTTTGTCAGTGTCCTACCTCCATGCAGTCTTTCTAAGAATCACACTCAGGCAGTCCCTCTTCAGGGCATAGCATTTCACAAGGTTTCCCCAATGTCCAATCTCAACTCTTGTGTCAAGTGAAGGCATTTTCTCTTCCTTGGGACAATGACAGAATTCAAACAGCAAGTCTTCCCCTTCTAAATCTTGCCTTTTGCAGCCACCACACCCTCCCCTGTCTTTTCTGCAGGCCTCCATGTGTAGTAACTCATATGAAACTCTCACAATCACCCCATGAGGTGGGTCCTATTGTTATCCTCATTTTACAGAGGATGCTGTGAGGTTAAGAAACATGTCCAACATCCCACAGCATGGAGGCAATAAAGCTAGGATTGGAACTCAAGGGGTCTGTCTTCAGAGTCCATGCTTCTAACTACTATACTCTGAGGAAACTGAGGCACAAAGAGGCTAAGTAACTTGCCCAAGGACAGAAAGACGTGGAGGCAGGATTTGAACCCAGTGATCTGTTCAGGGACCTACTGAAGGCAGCATTGTCAGCGAGTACTCTCATCCACCCTCAACCCATCCCACACACACCAGCCAGTTAGGTTTCTTTTCTGCCTACACCTTTCAAATATCTTCCCAGGGCACCCAGGATAAAGTAAAACTCCTCATTGTGACCCCCAAGACCTGGCCTATCTCACCCTTGCCCCGCTCTCCAGCTTGGCCTCATGCCACCCTGCCTTGTTTACTCTGTTCCAGCTGTGCTGCCCTCCCTTCTGGTCCCCTTGAGACACCAAACTCCTTCTGGCCTCAGGCTTTGAGCTTACTATTCTCATTCTGGAACATTCTTACCCCAGGCTGTCTACAGCTTGTCCTTTTCACCATTCAGGTCTCAGCTTACACATCACTTCGTCAGAGTGGGCTTCCTTGATCGCTCCATTTAAGAAACCCCCCCCCCAGCCCAACTTTCTATTCCATTCCTAGCAGCAATTTACAACATTTTATGTTTGCTAATTTATCTGTTTATTGTCTGTCCCCAGACTAGATCATGAGCCCCATGAGGGCAGGAAGGATGTCAGTTTACTTGCCCACACCAGCACTTTGGGCCATGGTTAGTGTACGGTAGATGCTTAAGAACTATCTGCTGAATGGGGCGCCTGGGTGGCGCAGTCGGTTAAGCGTCCGACTTCAGCCAGGTCACGATCTCGCGGTCTGTGAGTTCGAGCCCCGCGTCAGGCTCTGGGCTGATGGCTCAGAGCCTGGAGCTTGTTTCCGATTCTGTGTCTCCCTCTCTCTGCCCCTCCCCCGTTCATGCTCTGTCTCTCTCTGTCCCAAAAATAAATAAACGTTGAAAAAAAAAATATTTAAGAACTATCTGCTGAATTAATGCTCAAATGGGGTCACAGAACATTTCAGTTAGCAGCTCACCCAGGTAAGTTTCCTCATTTTCTGATGAGGACACACATTCAGAGAGGTAAAGTGATTTGCTTAAGCTGGCTAATTAGAAGCAAAATGAAGATAAGGACCCCCTGCCCTTCACCCCAATCTGGCATATCCTTTCTGCCCAATCTGAGGCCTCAGTCTGTCTGTTCTGTCTGTTCTGGAGAATCTGGCTCCCCTACACTTCTTGGCTCAAAACAGAGCAGGCCCCAACTTCCACTGTTTCCAGGACTGAACCAGCTTTATATTCCTGCTTCCCAGCTTAGACAACGTGATCTCCTAGGTGAATACACAGGCACAGCTATCACTATTCATTCTCCTACAAATGAAGCCAGGGCCTTGAAAGCAGGGAGAACAGAGTCTTACCGAAGACACATCCGGCATTTTCACCACAAGAGTCATGTAACACATATGTGGGGAGGCTTCTATGTGCTGAGCCCTGTGTTGGGTCTTTGCTCGGAGTCCCACCCAAAGCCTTCTAGGACTTCCAAGAGAATCAAAGCCAAGGTCCCTATTACAGCATTGCAGGCCCTTGACAACACAGACCGTGCCCTTCTTGTTCCATCTTACATAGCCTCCACTGCTGTCACCATCTACCCAACCGGGCACCCCCTTTCTGCCCTTTGGTGCCTCCATTAGGCTCAGGGTGACCAGCATCCTCAGCTGCTCTGCCTGGAGATATGCAAGGCTGCGCTCACAGGCCAGGTGCTGGCCTCAGGAGCCCGGTGTTCAGTCCTCAGTGCCTTATTCAGAAACGTGAATGCACCACAGTGTAGTAAACCACAAGAGGGCTGGAAACCACATCACATGAAAACTGTCTGAAGGGATGGAGGATGTTTTGACTGAATAAGAAAATAATTAATGGGGCATTGGTACTGTGCCTGGCTCCAGAAATGTTGAATGAAAAACAAAATGGCATTCTTTAAATATCTAAGGGGACATCATGTGGCAAGGAAGCTGATTTCTTCTGTTTGTTCTTGGGGTTGTAGGGGGTGGGGAAAGGTTGGGGGAGGAGCTAGTTAAAAACTGCACAAGGCAGAGTTTTGCAGAACAAAAGGAGGAGCTTGGAAATATTCCATCAGCCTTGAGGGTGGGCCATGTTAGGGACTAGGGCTCCCACCCAGCAGTGGCTGGCCTTCCTGCATCCAAAGACTCACAGTCCAGTGGGCAGGAGCATTAAGAGCCTACTACAACATGGGGTGACAAGGGCATGAAGAGGACCCTGGAGATACTGTTAACTGAGGAACAGCAGCAAGGGCATGTCGAGAGAGCAGCTCTCTAGACTATGATGACCACACACAGGATGATGACCACACATGGGGCTTCAGAAGACAGCCCCTCCCCCAGCACACGGAGGCCCATTACTACTCACCAGAAAGCCCTCGTGCCCTCTCTTGGCTGTTCACCTGCTGCCCAGCTCCCACAATGATTAACTCATGGCCAAACGTGTTTCATCCATATGCTCCCCACTCCCTCAATTATTGGATAGTTATATTTTTAATAGACTTTATTTTTTAGAACAATTTAGACTTAGAAGAATTGAGAAGATAGTACAGAGTTCCCATATACCCTCTACCCAGTTTCCTCTATTATTAATGTCTTACATTAGTAAAATACCTTTGTTATGGTTAATGAACCAATATCGCTGCATTATTATTAATTCAGGTCAAGGAGTTATTTGGATTTCATTTTTTTACCCAATCCTTTTCCTGTTCCAGGATCCTATGCAAGACACATACTCCATTTATTCTCTTCTCCTTAGGCTCCTCTTGGCTGGGGCAGTTTCTCAGACTTATCTGATTTATGATGACCTTGACAGCTATTGAGGAGTACCGGTCAAATATTTTGTATGATAGCCAGCTTTTTGAATTTGTCTGATTAGTTCCCATTATTAGATGGGGATTGTGGCTTGTTGGGAAGAGGACCATGGACATAAAGTGCCATCCTCATCACATCACATTCCCGTTTCATCATATTAAGGGACATACTATCAACACAATTTAACTGTGGAGGTTGGCTAAGGTTGTGTTTCTCAGGTTCCTCCACTGTAAAGTTACTCTTCCCCCTCTCCCTTTCCATACTGTACTCCTTAGAAGGAAGTCACTATGTGCAGCCCACACCCAAGGAATGGGGAGTTATGCATCCTCTGCTTTACAGCCAAGTATCTATGTAAATCATTTGGAATTCTTCTGAATGGGAGATTGGGTAAAAAAAGGAAATCCAAATAACTCCTTGACCTGAGTTAATAATAATAATGCAGCAATATTGGTTCATTAACTATAACAAAGATATTTTACTAGTGTAAGACATTAATAATAGAGGAAACTGGGTAGAGGGCATATGGGAACTCTGTATTATCTTCTCAATTCTTCTAAGTCTAAAGTCTAAGTCTAAGTCTTTATTAATTTATTCATTATACCAGTATGTACTCAGGGATATTTACTGTATACTTTGGGTTATAACCCAATACTATTTTATTTTGTTGCTCAAATCGTTCCAGCTTTGACCACTGGGAGCTCTTTCAGTTGATACCTGTGTCCCTTTGATAGGCCTGCCACAATCAATGTAGTGTTTTTGCCCGATACTTCCTTACTCCCTGGCACTACAAAATGCTCCAGGCCCATCTAGTCTATTTCCTGCCCTAGTCCTAGAATCAATCATTTTCCAAGAAGCCTTGTTCCTCTTTTTTATTTATCTATTTATTTACTTATAATTTTTTTTAAGAGAGAGAGGGGGTTGGGTGGGGTGGGGTGTTGGGGAGGGAGGGAGACACAGAATCCAAAGCAGGCTCTGCACTATTGCCCTATGCTGGGCTCAAATCCTCAAACCATGAGATCATGACCTGAGCCGAAGTCAGATGCTTAACTGACTGAGTCACCCAGGTGCCCCAAAACTTTGTTCCTCTTAATAAAGAATGGTATTAGAAACCAAGATCAGGGTGCTAGGAGTGCTCACTGCTACTGGAGTGTCATTTCTTTTAGGCCCTGTCAGCTGACAAACCAAAAGATACATATTGATACACATATCTATAAATATTTCCACGTGGAACCATCTGTATTTATATTAAGCTACATAGGAGTTCATACTAATGTCTTCAACTAATCCATTACCACATGGATCATTCTAGCCTCCTCCTTGTTTATCTGTAAATTTCTACTCCAGTGGTGAGAAATCTGGCTGCCATGATCTGCCATTAACTTACTGAATTGATCCATTTCAGTACACAGTATCAGAACTGTTAAGCATCCACCCATGGGTAATAACTTTATCAACTAGAGTATAGTGCTCATGTGCAATTTCTTCAGCTTTCCATCTCACAGAACCCAGTCACCTCCAACATTACATAGGTCAGCACCTTTTTCTCCCACCCTCTTCCTGAGGTTTTTTCACATGTTTGTAATACCATTAGATTCTCTGGTCATAGTCTGCATTCCCTCATGGGATCCTCTGCCTCCTAAATAACTTTTTTGTTGTTGTTTTCACAAACTGTATACATTAAGGTTCACTCTCTGTGCTGTAAATTTCTATGGATCTTGTCAAATGCTTAAGGTTTTGTACCCAGCATTATGGTTTCATACAGAATAATTTTACTGTCCTAACAATCCTCTGTGCTTTACCTGTTCATCCCTCTCCCTGAACTCCAAACCTCTGGCAACCACTGATCACTATCTCTATAGTTATCCCTTTTCCAGCATGTCATACAATTGGAATATAGAATATTTAATCTTTTCATACAGGCTTCTTTCACTTAAAATAGCCATTTAGATTTCCTCCATGTCTTTTCATAGCTTGATAGTTCATTTATTTTTATTTATGAACGATATTTCATTGTATGGACCTACCAGTTTGCTTATATTAACTTGTATATTAACATACAAATTTTATAATGAGTTTGTCAATGTCCACAAAATAACTTGCTGTGGTTTTGACCTGGATTGTATTGAATCTATACATCAAGTTGGGAAGAACTGACATGTTAACAATAGAATCTTCCAATCCATGAACATAGAATATTCCTCCATTTATTTAAATCTTCTTTGAATTTTTTCATTATAATCAATAAAGGGTTTTTTTTTTTGCATATGGACCCTGAACATATTTTGTTAGATTTATACCTAAGTATTTCATTTTTGGTGTTACTATAAATGGTATTGTGTTTTTAATTTCAAATTTCAATGTTCATTGACTTATACCTTGTGATCTTGCTATAATCATTTATTCACTTCAGGAGGATTTTTTTCATTTTGTTTTTTGATTCTTTGGAATTGTCTACATAGACAATCAAACACCTGCAAACAAAGACAGTTTTATTTCTTCCTCCCCAAATATGTTTGATTTCCTTTTCTTGTCTTAATGCTCTAGCTAGAACTTCCAGTACAATGTTGAACAGGAGTGGTAAGAGAATACTACTTGCCTTGTTCCTGGATTATTTTAAAACAAGTCACAGATGTCATATCATTTTATCTGTAAGTATTTTGGTGCATATCTCCTAAAAACAAGGAGTCTTAAAAAAACATAACCATAATACCATTATCATATCTAAAAAAGTCAAAAATACTCCTTAACATCACCAAATATAGAGTGGAATGTTTTTAAACCTTTACTGCTATTACTTAACACTCCAGCCCACACGAATGAGGCTCTCTGCACACTTACCACAGTTTCTCCTTCCTCTACAGTGTGGATCTTGATGTAGGCGCCCACTGCAGCCTCCTCAGGGAGTTCACCATACTCAGTATTGATCATGGGACATTCGAGGGAATGTGGATGCCTAGATCTGAAATTTGACAACTTGTTAAAGAGGATTCATTTGTAACACAGCCAGTTCATGAGGTCCTGGACAGTGAGCTCCCACTCTGCTGCATTTTAAGAACCTCCCCTTCCTGGAGAATTCACACCACCTCAGAAAGTGAGAAAACTCAAAATCAAGCCCTGGAAGAGTTTATGTCAAGAACCGGAGAAGCTGAATAGTGGGGAGACTTAGATGAAGAAATAGAACCCCTTTAAACACTTGAAAGCTGTTATGTGGAAGAAGGGGCTGCTGATCTTATACAGCTGAGCCAGACCTGATGGGTGAGAATTACAGGCTGGCTGATGTGTGCTCAACATGAGGAAGACATTTCTAAGTCAGAGGTGTCCAATATAGAATAGACTGCTTTGACACAGGGTAAACTCTATGTCCCTGGGGACACAGCACAGGTTGGGGCTGTCCTTCTTGGCAGAAAAGCAAAGAAGAGATGGCTTTGTTTGTTTGTTTATTTAACAGGTTTCCTTGGGAAGCCTGTAGATACTGTATTTTGTTCATGCTGGAATTAATTTTACACAGGCAATCCTGTTGTGCTTTCTTTGGTCTTGGGCAAGGTAGAAGGAAGAGACAGGCTATGCTATCTGGATTAGAGGCAGGGAAAAATAATTATTTATCGGCTGAGAATATAGCCGATATAGTCACCCAACTCATAAACTCACCCAACACATAAACAAGGCAGCCTACAGTTCTCCCCCCGCCCCACCCCACCCCCCAGGATGCATACATGAGTAGCACATGCCCAGCATGGCCTTTATTTTTCACTTCTGGGTCCAACCTGTCTGTTCTCCCTTACTGATTTACAGCAGAGGAACTGGGTCGTTCAATCCCTACTTTCCAAAGAATTAAGATTGGGACTCCCTCAGAAAGAATATCCGTCAGAGGGAATAACAACTCAGAAGTTATGGGATGCTCCTTATGGAGATAGATGGGCTGGAAATGCTAACAGGCAAAGGACTTGAGTGAAGTGGTACTGGGACAACATGGAGGTTGTGATGTTCCTATTAGTTTAATTGTGATAGTTTAATTTTATATTTAATGAAGGAGAAGAGGTATGATATTGCTCTGGGTCCAGCACTGAGCTGCTTCTAGGCAGGTACCACTGAGTGTCCTTTCCTGTTCCTCAGCCTCTCTGGGTTAAGGCATAAGTGCAGCCCTCATCGTGCATCCTCATTCCAGCCATGATAGTTGTACCAAAAAACAAGGCTGAGCACTAATAAGCTGCTCAGGTTTGAATACTGGCTCTGCCACTTCCTACCTGTATGACCTGAAACCAAGTAGCTTAATCTCTCCCTGTAGCTTGGTTTTCTCACCTGACAAATGAGATGGATAACAGCACTTAATTCATAGAACTATTGTCAGGATTAAATTAGATAATCCAGTACCAGGCACAGAGTATTCCACAAGTGTCAGCTATAATTATCATTATCTCATTTAATTGTTGGCTTACAACAATGCCTAGACTTGAATCCTATTATCTACAGAAAAGGAAACTATGGCTTAGAGAGGTCAAGTCCCTTGCCCAAGTACACAGAGATAAAATAAGTGGCCAAGCCAGGACTTGAGCCTGAGTTGAACTGACTCCAAAGCCCAGGCTCTTATCTACCGCCTCCCTTAGATGGGTAGAATTTTCTGAAGAGGCTCAGAGTCAAAAAGAGCCAATAAGGGGTGCCTGGTTGGCTCAGTTGGTTAAGCATCCAACTCTTGATATCGGTTCAGGTCATGATCTCACAGTTTGTGAGACTGAGCCCTGAGTCAGGCTGTCAGTGCAGAGCCTGCTTGGGATTCTCTCTCTCCCTCTCTCCCTCCCCATCTTGCGTGCACACGCCCACACTCACTCTGGAGCATTCTCTCTCTCAAAAACAAAACCAAACAAAACAAAAACACAATAAAACAAAAAGATCCAGTGACACGCAGACAGAATATCAGAGCCAGATCTGTCCTGCCCCTTCTTCCTCAAATAGGTTCCCTGAGAAAGGAAGTAGCTGACCACCTAAAATGGCCCTATGGGTTACAGGCAGAGAATGCAGCTCCTGGGTCTCCAATCAAGCACTTCTATAGGCTTCCTTCTGTATATACCCCAATCTTTGTGCTCAAGCTATGCCTGCTACCGCCAGCCCCTCTTCAGTATCCCTGACATTCTGTCCTTTCAAGTTCTATCTTCCTTTGCAACCAGAATCTGGATCCTTCTATCTGCCAAGCACTAAGCTTACTTGATCTTCGGGCCCAAGGTCTTTGGAAGAGTATTTCCTGAGGTTTTAATCCTCCTACTGAAGCTGGACCCCTGTTGCTCCCAGGCTTTCTGGAGGTGCTTAAGTTTCAGAGTACTAAAGTCCTGTACAGGATATGATTTTATCTGGAATTCCTTAAATCTCTCCACAGGAGAAGGTTCTGTTAGAGAAAGCACAGAAAAACACATTAATGGGTCTTTGCATATAGGAGGGCTTTGCTGATGATGGTGAAAGGTATACCATCCTCACCTGCCTGGCTCGCCTGGTGCATGGGGAAATTAAGGAAAATAGAACATACTGTGGTCTCCATGTATTGTCCCTTTGTGCCAGGCCCTTAGCAGAGCCTGCACATACATTACATCCAGACAACTGTCACTGGCTCCATTTAAGAAACAAAATTATCAGCAGAGATGGGGCACCTGGGTGGCTCAGTCGGTTGAGCATCTGACTCTTGATTTTTGGCTCAGGTCATGATCTCACACTTCATGGGATCGAGCTCCACATCTGCCTCCATGCTACCAGCAGAGCTTGCGTGGGATTCTTGCCCTCTCTCTGCTCCTTCCCTGCTCACTCATGCATGTGCACACTCTCCCTCAAAAATAAATAAATGAACTTAAAAAAAAAAAAGAACAGCAGAGAGTTGAGGTCACCAGGAAAGGGCTGAAGCTTAGAACTGAACTCAAATCTACCTGATTTAAATCTCATGTCTTTACAAGGGGGCCTGGGTGGCTCGGTCTATTAAGCATCTGACTTTGGCTGAGGTCATGATCTCAGGGTTCAAGAGTTGGAGCTCCACATCAGGTGAACATGAGCTCCACATTGGGTAAATGTAAGCCCTTCTTCTCCTTCTCTTTCTCTCTCCCACTCTGCCTCTTGTGGGACTGATTCTCTCTTCCCCTTGCTCACTTGTGCTCTCTCTCTCTTAAAAAAAAAAAAGAAGAAGAACAGCTTCTGTCTTTCCACTAACAGATCATATGATCGTATTTATCTGGGACTGGGGACAGAGGCAGCAATAAAAGATAAATAAATGACGAGCCATAGAATCTTGGATGAGGTAATTTTCCAGCACCCTCATAGGATTATTATAAGAATTACAGATAGGAGCGCCTGGGTGGCTCAGTCGGTGAAGCATCCGACTTCAGTTCAGGTCATGGTCTTATGGTCATGTGATTCAAGCCCAATGTCAGGCTCTGTGCTGACAACTCAGAGCCTGGATCCTGCTTCAGATTCTGTCTCTGTCTCTCTGCCCCTCCCCACTCACACTCTGTCTCTCTCGCTCTCAAAAATAAATAAACATTTAAAAAAATTTAAAAAAAAAGAATTACAGATAAAGTATGTGCTACACCCTGCACAGTGCACTTAATATCCCCTCTATGAGAGTTAACAAGATCACCAAGAGAATACTACTCAGAAATAAAAAGGAGGAAACCAACTACTCAGAACACAATGCTGAATGAAAAGAAGCTAGGCACAAAAGAGTACATATTGTATGGTTCCATTTATATGAAACCCTAGGAAAGACAGATCTAACCTATTGCAATAGAAAGCAGATCAGTGGTCACCTAGGGTCGAGATGAAGGGTAGGAATTTACTGGGAAAGGACACAAGGGAAATTTTGGGGGGATGGAAATGTTCTGTAACTTGACTGTTGCAATTACCACAGATATAAATTTGTCAAAATTCATTGAACTACACATTTAAAATGTGTGCATTTTATTGTTTGAAAATTAAATATCTGTAACTTTGATTTTAAAGACAGATCTCCTGGGGCACCTGAGTGGCTCAGTCGATTAAGCCTCTGACTTTGGATCAGGTCATAATCTCACAGCTGGTGAGTTCGAGTCCCACATCAGGTTCTCTGCTGTCAGCATGACCCACTTGGGATCCTCTGTCCCCCTCTCTCCCTGCCCCTCCCCAACTTGCACACATGTGCACTCGCATGTGTGTGCACTCTATCCCTCTCTCAAAAATAAATAAACGTGAGGAGCGCCTGGGTGGCTCAGTCATTTAAGCATCTGACTTGAGCTTAGGTCATGATCTCGCAGTCTGTGAGTTCAAGCCCCACGTCAGGGTCTCTGGTGACAGCTCAGAGTCTGGAGCCTGCTTTGGATTCTGTGTCTCCCTCCCTCTCTCTCTGCCCCTCCCCTGCTTGGGCTCTGCCCCTCCCCCCCACCCACCTCTCTCTCTCTCTCTCTCAAAAATAAAATAAAAATAAACACTAAAAACTTTTTAAACAAATAAACATATATATATATATATTAAGGGTGCCTAGGTGGCTCAGTCAGTTAAGCAGCTGACTTTCAGCTCAGGTCATGACCTCACGGTTGGTTTATGGGTTCAACCCCGGCATGGGGCTCTCTGCTGTCAGTACAGAGCCCACTTCAGATCCTCTGTCTCCCTCTCTGTATGCTCTCGAATGGGTGCTCTCTCAAAAGTAAATAAACATTTTAAAAAATTTTAATAAAAAAATAAAAACAGATCTTCAGTGTTAGAGTCAACTATTAAAATTAATGTTAATAGAAATAATTCCAAAATCTATAAAGAATAGGCCTAGATTAGCAGAGAACATACAAAAAGCCCTGAATAAACCTTTTTACAACGCTTTTTTGTCAATATCTATCAATATTTTAGGTGTGCATGGCCAGCATGCACTGGATCAATTACTCGATTCAGTAATTCTAAGATTTTATACAATGTTGCCCTGTACACATATGCAAAGATAAATACACGATGAAATTCACCACATTAGGGTAATAGTGAAAAATTGGAAATAACTCAAAATATCTGTAAAAGGTCATTGCTTTAATAATTGTGGTATATACATACAGTAGGATAAAACTCAGCTATTAAGAAACACAGATCTAAAAAAAAAAAGAGAGAGAGAAAGAAAGAAACACAGATCTAGACTTCTGCTTCCAGCCAAATGAATTAACAAGGACTAGACTTACTGTCCCACCTGAAACTACTTTAAAAAACCGGCATAAATGTATGAAAAAAATGGCTTTCAAGATATTGGGCATCAGGCCATGAAGAACAATCATCACTGTAAGATAGAAAACAAATGGGGTGAGCCCTACTATTGCCCTAGCTTACTGCCTAGAGCTTTTGGAGGTTTTCTGGGCCATGTTGCAGGGAGGGGGAACCCAGGTGGATCCCATAAGTTTCCCTGATGAGACAGAACTGAGAATCTAGGGAGGACAAGACAGCAAGAGTTCACAAAGCAGAGTACCAGAGAGCACAGAGATGCACAAAGAAAGAACTCTGAAGATCAAGGTATAATAAATGGAAACACAATGCATGTTTATGGATTGGAAGACTGAGTACTGTTAAGATTTCAATACCACTCAGATGGAGGTACAGATTCAATGTAATCCCTATTAAAACCCCAATGACCCAAATGACAGGGCACCTGGGTGGCTCAGTTGGTTAAGCATCCAACTTTGGTTCAGGTCATGATCTCATGGTTCATGAGTTCGAGCCCTGCATCAGGCTTTCTGCTGTCAGCACAGAGCCCACTTCAGATCCTCTGTCCCCCTCTTTCTCTGCACCTCTCCTGCTTGTGCTTTCTCTCTCTCTCTCTCTCTCTCAATATTTTTTTAAAAAATCCCAATGACTTTTTTTCAGAAATAAAAAACTCATCCTAAAATTCATATGAAATCTCAAGGGACCCCAGATAGCCAAAACTATTTTGAAAAAGAACAAAGTAGAAGGGCTCACACTTCCTGATTTCAAAACTTACTACAAAACTACAGTAATCAAAGTAGTGTAGTATTGGCATAAAGACAGACATATAAGCCAAAAGAATGAAATAAAGGCCCAGAGATAAACCCTCAGATATATGGTCAAATGATTTTAGCCAAGGGTGCCAAGACTATTCAATGGGGGAAAGAACAGTCTTTTCAATAAATGGTGCTGGGAAAATTGAATATCCACATGCACAAGAATGAATTTAGACCCTTACCTCATACCACATATAAAAATTAACTCAAAATGGATCAACAACCTAAATGTAAGGCCTAAAACTATAAAACTCTTAAAAGAAAACATAGGGCAAAAGCATCACAACATTGGATTTGGCAGTGATTTCTTGGATACATACTAAAGGCACTGGCAGTAAAAGAAAAAAATGGACAAATTGGACTTTATGAAAATGTAAAAAATTTGTGCAAAAGACAATATCAGCAGAGTAAAAAAGCAGTCCATGGAATGAGATAAAATATTTGTAAACCACATAACTGATAAGGGATTGACATCCAGAATATACAGGAAATTCCTAAAACTTAACAAAAAAACAGATAAGCAGATTTTAAAATGGGCAGAGAACTTGCATAGACTTTTCTACAAAGAAGATATATGAATGGACAATAAACACATAAAAAATGATAATAATAATTAGTAAGGAAATATAAATCAAAACTACAAGATACTATCTCATACCCATTAGGATCAATATCATTTAAAAAAACAACAACAACAAAGAGGGGCACCTGGGTGGCTCAGTTAGTTAAGCATTCAACTCTCGATTTCAGTTCAGGTCATGATCTCATGGTTTGTGAGTTCCAACCCTGTGTAGGGCTCTGTGCTGACAGTACAGAGCCTGCTTGGAATTCTCTCTCTCCTTCTTTCTCTGCCCCTTCCCTGTGTGCATGCATGTGCACTCTCTCTCTCTCTCAAAAATAAACATTAAAAAAACCCAGAAAATAACAAGTGCTGCTGAAGATGTGGAGAAATTGGAACCCTTGTGCATTGTTGGCAGGAATGTAAAATGGTGCAGCCACTATGGAACACAGTATGGAGATTCCTTAAAAAGATTAAAAATGGAATTACCATATGACCCAGCAATTCCACTTCCGGATGTATATTCAAAAGAAAACGGTCTCAGATAACTGTACACTCATGCTCAGTATTCACTATCGCTAAAATGTGGATGTAACTCAAGTGTCCATCGATGGATGAATGGATAAACAAAATGTGATAGATATATATATATATATACAATGGAATATTATTCAGGCTTAAAAAGGAAGGAAATTCTGACACACTACAATATAGATGAAGCTTGAGGGCATTATGCTAAGTGAAATAAGCTAATCACAAAAAGACAAACACTGTATGCTTCCACTTATATGAGGCACTTAGAGTAGTCAAAAGCATAAAGGTAGACAGTAGAATGGTGGTTGCCAGAGGCTAGGGGGAGGAGGAAATGATCAGTTATTGTTTAATAGGTATAGTTTCAGTTTTACAAAATGAAAAAAGTTAAAGAAATGGATGGTGGTGGTGGCTGTACAATATTATGAAGATATTTAACACCATTGAATTGTATGTTTAAAAATGGTTCAGAAAATTTTATGCTATGTGTATTTTGCCACAAAAAATAAATTTTGGGTAAAAAATGTTATGGGATGCAGCTTTTTCTCTGGTGGACTGGCAGTGGAAAAGAGAGGGAAAAAAACTGACATGAGAAGAGAAATGACATTTCCTGAGCACTAACAGGCCCTGTCCATACACAATCTGATTCAGCTTCCCTAGTAACCCCTGTGATAAAGATAACAAACATCTACTATACACTAATGCAGGCAGTGTTCTAAGAGCTTTATATATCCATTTGCTTAATTTCATAACAAGCCTATGAACTTGTTTTATGGAGTCTGAGGGAACTGATCCACAGGGACACAGTCACTTGCCCAGTATCACACAGCCCATAAGAGGAGGACCCTGGATTCAAACACAAGCAGTTTGGCTCCCGGGTCTATGCTCCTAACCATGACACTACCATGACAGATATGAAGAAACCAGGCCTAGACCCTTTAAGTACTCATCAGAGTCACTCAGCTAATCAGTGAGATTCAAACCCAGCTCAGTCAAGCTCCAGGCTCCTTTCCACCCCTCTCCCTCAAAGGGAAAGCCTAAAAAGGAGGAGCTGGAGGGGGGGCAGGAGCCTCTCCTGGCAGGGCCATGTGGGCCACGTTTGCACAGCTGGGAGAAGAGGGGATCAAACCAGACATCCTGCAGGGCCTTTCTAGCTCTAGAGGTCTAAGATTCTATGGGCTGAGAACTGGAAGCAGAAGGGCCCAGGCGCCCCCTGCTGTGCACAGCTGCCAGTTACCATTGAGGTGGGTCTTCAGAGATGTGTCTATCAGCTCCAGATGCTGCCAGATCCACTTGTAGTAGAAAGGCGAGGTCCCAAGGTCTATCAGACGCAGGACTTCACAGCTGCCCTGGAAACATCAAGGGACACAAACAATGGGGCTAACTCCTGAGGCTCCAGGCAGGCCAGGCTTTGAAGATAAGCTCTCTCTATTGCATCTTACCCCAGTTTACTTGGCTTAATGCAAGTGGTTTCGGGTTCCTTTTTCTTTTTTTCTTTCCTTCTTTTTTTTTTAATGAAAATGTTATGTACTCATCACAAGTTCAAATAGCTAAATAGGCATAAGAACTAAATAAATGTAGGCATTGGGAGAAAAATCACCATAGAGAATATGATTGGGACAATTGGTGAAAATAATCACTTAAGGGGTGGTTTAGTCGGTTGAGTGTCCGACTTCGGCTCAGATCATGATCTCATAGTTTGTGATTTCGAGCCCCATGTCAGGCTCTGTGCTGACAGCTCAGAGCCTGGAGCCTGTTTCAGATTCTATGTCCCCCTCTCTCTGACTGTCTCCCACTCATGCTCTGTCACTCTCTCTCAAAAATCAATAAACATTAAAAAAAAATTTTAAAGAAAATAATCCCTTAAGTATATAGGGGTAAGTGAGTATAACAAATGATATTTAACTCTCAAATGATTCAGGCAGAGAAAGAGAGAGAGAGAGAGAGAGAGAAGCAAATGTGGCAAAGTGTTAGCAATTGGTGAATCTGGATGAAGTTTATACAGGAATTCTTTGCACTGTTCCTGCAAATTTTCTATAAATTTAAAACCATTCCAAAATTAAAAGTTTTAAAAATATTCAAACCAAACAGAAGAGCATAAAGAAAGTCAAAACTATTTTCATCCTAACACCCAGAAATAACAAGTAGCATTTTGGTGAATGTTGTTTCAAACTTTACTCTGTAAACATAATACATTAATATTTTTTTTCATAAATGAGTCTCTTTATGTAAAGAGATCATTGTAACGTTTTTAAAGAACTCAATAATATATCAAGGACATCATTTCATGCCAAGTAATATGGTAAAATTGTTTTTTTTTAGTGATTGCATATTATTCTATGTATGCCATAACTTACATACAATTTACAATAGGAAATAGTTGAGCAAAAGAAGTCAGACACAAAGAACACATTCTGTATGATTTCATTTATATGAAGTTCAAGAATAGGTAAAAGGGCGCCTGGGTGGCTCAGTCAATTAAGTGTCCGACTTCGACTCAGGTCATGATCTTGCAGTTTGTGGGTTTGAGCCCCGCGTTGGGCTCTGTGCTGACAGCTCAGAGCCTGGAGCCTGCTTTAGATTCTGTGCCTCTCTCTCTCTGCCCCTCCCTTGCTCATGCTCTGTCTCTGTCTCTCAAAAATAAATAAATGTTAAAAAAATTTTTTTAAAAAGAACAGTCAAAAGTAATCTTCTGACTTTGTGGTTATCTTTGGTTGGGGGGGTGGGAGTTTGCCTGGGAAAGTGTACAAGGGAGCTTTCTAGGGTACTAGAAATGATCTCTATCTTGATTTGGGTGATGCTTACACAGATATATACATATATAACAATTCACTAAGCTGTAAAGTTTAGATTTCTTTATCGCACACATGTTACACCTCAAGGAAATATTTTTGAAGATTAATATTCAATTCTTTCTGTCAGTATTATATATATAATTCTGATCTTGTTCAGGACAGTAAAATCTCCTGTTTACAAAACTCACCGCCTTTCCAAACTCTCCTGCACTGGGGGTAGCAGTGACCCCGTTCTGGCTACTGACATATAAGTGGAAGGCTGATGGATAAAACTCCCTGGAAACCTGTGGTTGTCCTTCCCCCTTACCTCTGCATAAAACTCATATGTGATGGCTGGAGGTGAAATAGTCACATCGTGACCATTAGGATGAAAGCTATATGCTGTGGACGATGAGGGGAGATGCTAGAAGGGAACTGGGGTCTTGAAGATTTCCCCAAACAGCTGTTCTAGCCCTGGATTGCTTAATTCTAGCCTCTCTACTGCAAGACAAAAGGAAATTACTATTCACTAAGCCACTGCAGTTGGGTTTCTGTGACAGCAACTTTAACTGATAATCTTGTACACACATCTTAATGCCTAGAGTGGTCATTTAGTTCACAAATCTCAAGTTCTCCCCCTAAGCATAAGTCAGGATTGTTTTTTTACTTTTAATCAGATATGGCCTTCTTACTTGCATTGGCCACTTTCCTAAGCAAAGTGACTCTGACAATGTGAGTGGAAACGTTACCAGCCCATGCTTGATTCTCAACATTACCTTCCCCTGTCCTATGGACCATGGAAGCATAGGTGAAGATAGTCTCCAGTGGCCTGGGTCCCTGAGTGACCATAGAAAGCAAGGCCTCCTGCTGATCAAGTAGTGGGGATGAAGGAATGCGTCTGTTAGTTAATCCACTGAGATTTGAGGATTGCTTAGAATTGCAACATAACCTTGTTCATCCTAATATAATGCGCATGTTTGATTATCCCTTGGGATTGTTTCCTACAAGCATGTATGTTTTAAATGTTGACACACATTGCCAAACTGCCTTGCAGAAATGTTAGTTTACACTCTCTCCAACAGTGTATAACAGAGCCTGTTTTATCTTTGTATTACATTGAAAGCTGGGCTTTCACAATCTTTTTTATTTTTTCTAATCTGGTAGGAAAGATATGTCATTTTCTTTTTTATTTCATATCTTTATAAAACATTACCTTTTTTTAGTAGGAACTGTAAGAGACCCATTATACTTAAGGTTCAAGCCCAACTACTGTTGAAGAGGAAAGAGAAGGGATAGACATTTATTAAGCCCTTATGATATGGCAGGTGTTGGTCTTGGAGGCTTAGTGAACATTTACTCAACATTTATCAACAAGGACTGCAGGTGCCAGAGAAACACAGGTGAACATTTTCTTCTCAGGCTCTCGTGGGTGTTTAACCCCATCTGTACCTGTGTAGAAAACAATTTCACCATGTGTCCCCAAATGATAAATTGTTCCAAATGAATTGGTTATGGGCATTAACTATGTTTTCTAAGCCAATAGGAAATCACCTTCCCTAACTTTCCCAGGTCCAGGACACCCAGGCCCCTCCCTGCTATCACCCTCCAGTGGCCATATTTGTGAACTACAGGGGTCGGGACCTCCCAGTCTCAGATGAATGAATGTTCTAGCAGCTGGCCTGGCAGGAAATGAAAATGGGACAAAAGAGCAGTCCCTTTAGAAAGGTCAGGTGCTTTTCAACTCCAGCCAGAGGGGGCCACATCACAATACAGCCTGGTGTTGCCTGATCTTCTGAATATTCAAAAGAAGCCAGAAATCCGAAATTTTATTTACAATCTTCACAATAACGATTAAATCAACTTTCAATAAAACACTGTAAAGGACAGATCAAACTCACCTACCAGCCAGGATGCTCCCTCCTTGCTGTCACTTTGTAACATCTGCATTATTTTTCTCAGAATGAAGTTCAAGAGCGCCTGCATTAGATTCACCCTCTACGCTTATTCAAATGCAGATGACCAGGTTAATGAATAAGAATCTCTGGGGTCTGGCAGAAATTTGCCTTTTTAGGAAGTCCCCTAAATGTTCTTCATGCTTACTCAAATCTGGAAAAACTCTTTCCTTAAGTCAGAGTTCTCCACGTTTAATGTGCATCCGAATCACCTGGAAGGCTTGTCAAGACAGATTACTGAGCCACCACCTCTGAGTTTTGGATTGAACAGCTCTTGGGTAGTCCTGAGAATCTGCATTGTTAGTAACTTCCCAGGTGATACAGATGCTGCTGATTCAGTGACAATACTTAGAACCACTGAACTCGAGGATGAATGTGAACCGAGTAAATCTGGGCTAGACTCTTTCATCCTTATAACAGACTTTATGAGGTAAGTAGTTCATTCTGTCTTATGGACAAAGAAATGGAGGCTAACACAGACTAAGAACTTTCTGCCGGTCAAGATGTAATCATTTGATTAGAGCAAGTCTTGCAGATGTCAGGGAGGAGAAGGAATTGCAAAATACTCAGGCTGGCCTTCAGGGTTTGGCACTACCATTCTCTCTTCTAGGTTCTCCCTGCTCTCCTCACATGACCATCCTTTGGGTCAGATCCTGTGCGTCCAATCCCTTATAGTGTAGAGGCTGCAAGCCAAACACTCCCAAACATCTCCGAAGCCCCCTCGCACCTAAGAAGTGATTTGGGTTCCACTGCCCAGATGCACTTGGGCAAGGCTTGGTTTTGGACTGCAGGATATCTACTGTGTTTGTGGAGGCAGTGGCTACGGACGTGGCTTCCTGAATGTGGCAGGAGCAGCAGCACCTGTGACTGTCCAGTTCTGGACTCTGACTTGGGGTCACGTGGGGGTCATGTTCAGTTGAAGTTCTGTTCCTTCAGGCCTCCCCCTCACCAGTAAATCTGTTAGCCATTCAACATCCGGCAGTAACTCCCCTTCTGCTTATGTTAAGCTAGTCTTGACTCCCTACTCTAGGACTGAACCCAGAATTAACAACACAAACACACCCCTAGTGATAAGTTTAATAATCGGCTCTCTGGGAAAATGTATGCATGTCTATAAACCTTACTCTTATAAAGGGTGTGTTACACACAATATAGAAATAATAAAATATACTGTACTCTTATTGAAAGTTCCTATATATAAGGGTGCCTGACTGGCTCAGTTGGTAGAGCATGAGGCTCTAGATCTCAGGGTCCTGAGTTCGAGCCCCACATTGGGTGTGGAGCCTGCTTAAAATAAAATTTTTTTAAAGAGGTTGCATATAGCCAATGGATTCTCACAGAAGACTGTTGTGGGCTCTGGCTGAATTCTTGTAACCATGGCCAATCTATAGTCACAAGTCAACTGTGATTTGACAAATTAAGTTGCATCCAATCCATACTTCTCCCAATACATTTTTAAAAAGTCTTTTTTAGTGTCTATTTTTGAGAGACAGAGAGAGACAGAGTGCAAGTGGGGGAGGGGCACAGAGAGAGAGGGAGACACAGAATCCGAAGCAGGCTCCAGGCTCTGAGCTGTCAGCACAGAGTCTGATGCAGGGCTGGAACGCACAAACCACAAGATCATGACCTGAGCAGAAGTCAGATGCTTAACCAACTGAACCAGCCCCCCGATATATTTAATATTATTAAGAATAGTTTGTAATCTACTGGCAAACTACTTCTCACCTTTGTATAAATTATGTTCATTAAATGGAAACCTTCTTTAGTTTTAGTGCTACGCATACCAGAATGTTGCTTGTTCATCAACAATGTAACTTCTCTGATGAATCTATGATGAATAGTTTATTTTAATTTTTTAAAGTTTATTTATTTATTCTGAGAGAGAGAGAGTGTGTGTGAGTAGAGGAGGGTAGAGATAGGGAAGGAGAGAATCCCATGTAGGCTCCACACTGTCTGTGCAGAGCCCACCGTGGGGCTCACTCTCACAAACCGTAAGATCATGACCTCAGCCGAAACCAAGAATCAGATGTTTAACTGACTAAACCACCCAGGCACCCCTATGTAATTTCATTTTTAATAACTATTGTATTTATTACCTTGGAAAATTCCTGAAACTTAATCAGCTCTCACAGCCCAGTAAGAGCCAGCTCCAGCACACAACCAATCTTGCCCCCTTCTTTTGTTTAATTGTCCAATACTTCAAGGCTCAACTCCTGCCTCACCTCCTTCAGGAAGCCTTCCTTACAACCTCCAGCCTTAAGAGAGATTCCCCCTCTTGAGTCCCGAGAACTCAAAAAGTTTGTGCTAATCACTTGGTAGTTGGCAAAGACAATTTTGTCTCTGCTCAGAACCTAATGGAAGAGACATATAAACAGAGAGAAACAGTCTTTTCCATCTTCATATCCCTCCAGAGCATGAATCAACCTTCGCACAAACTCAACAAATGTCTGCTAGCTTAATATGAGCAACAGATATATGGGAGATACTAAAAGTTTGGATGGCCTTTCTTAAGGTATCTTAACTTCAACTGCCTCATTTGTAAACTTGGAATAATAATATCTTCCTCAGGAGCGCCTGGGGGGGCTTAGTCGATTGAGCATCCAACTCTTGATTTTGGCTCAGGCCATGATCCCAGGGTCGTGGAATCAAGCCCTGCATTGGGCTCCACACTGAGCATGGACCCGCTTAACATCCCTCCCTCTCTCTCTCTCTCTCTGCCCCTCTCTCCTACTTGTGGACTCTCTCTCCCAAATTAATAATAATAATTATTATTATAATAAATATCTTCCTGATAGAGCTATAGTGAAATGGTACTATGTACACAGTTATTCATCAAAACACTGTTTGAAATAGCAAAAGATTGGGGCAACCTAAATATCCATCAATAAGGAACTGGTTAGATAAATTCAAGTATAAGCATACAGTGAAACCCTGCACAAGTGGTAAAAAAGAACAAGTGGGTTCTTTATGTACTGATATGGAACAATCTACAGAAACACTCTTGAAACAGCAAAGTGAAGAACAGCCTGCATAATATGACGTCATTTATGAAAACAAGGAAAAAATATACACATGCATTTGCCTCTATACACAAAGAATAGATGCAGGACAGACACATGAGAAAGCAGTGACAATGACTGTCTCTGGGGAGGAATACTGGGTGGCAGGGGGAAAGAGGTGAGAGGGAAACATTACTCTTTTAAACCTTTTGAATTTCAAACCATGTGCATGTATTACCTGTTCCAAAATAAACAAACAAAAATTAACAATACTAGTAGAACCCGTGGCACAGGAGCAAAGGGCCTCAAAAAAATGGTAGTTCTCATGGTGATCATGAAAACTACTGAGGGGTTGAGCAGAGTCAACAACTGACAGAAAGATCGACTCAAATTGCAAATCCCAGCTCCTGAGAAGAGCTTTGGATAGTCAGACAGATCTGTATTGAACCTGGCTTCTGCCCCTCATCGACTATGTGATCTTGGAGGAGCCACTTCACCTTCCTATGCCTCAGTTTCCACCTCTGTACGATGGGAATAGCAACACTACCAACCTCCATTGGGCTGCTGTGAGGCCAAAATGAAATAAAGCATTTGAAGCACACAACCTGGGACATAGTATGCACTCAATAAATGTTAGATTTTCTTTTTATTATCAACCAACACAGAAGTTGACACAAGACAAAAAGCAATTCACAAAAGACAAAATTCAGACAGTAAACAAACATGAGTAATCTCACTAGGAATCAGGAAAAATGTAAATTAAATCCTCAATAAGGTGGCATTATAAAATTGATGGGGCGTGTAGGTGGCTCTGTCGGTTAAGCATCCAACTTTGGCTCAGGTCATGATCTCATGGTTCGGTTCATGAGTTTGAGCCCTGCATCGGGCTCTGTGCCGACAGCTTGGAGCCTGGAACCTGCTTCAGATTCTGTGACTCCCTCTCTCTCTGCCCCTCCCCCGCTCGCACTCTGTCTCTGTCTCTCTCAAAAATAAATAAAACGTTAAAAAAAATGTAAAAGAAAATTGTTGAGGGGCACCTGGGTGGCTCAGTCATTTAAGTGTCCAACTCTTGATCTAGGCCCAGGTCTTGATCTCAGAGTCGTGAGTTCAAGTTCCACACTGGGCTCCACGCTGGGCATACTTTAAAAAAAAAAAAAAGACTTTTGAAAGAATGCCTGGCAAGTTTGGCAGAGGTGTGTGGCACTGGCAAAGGTGTGCACAGCTGGAAGTTAGATAAAGTGGATCTTTTTGGAGAGTAACTTGTTCCAAGATTCATAAAAATGATGATACCATGCAATTCTGCTTCTGAAAATCTACTCTGAGGTGATGAGCTCATGCGTGATTTCTTCCCTCTTTCCAGAACTCTGTTTTATGCTGTGGTAATATCACTTCTATAATTTAAAAATTATGATTTTATGTATTTATTTTTTTATTCTCAAGTTAGTCAACATACAGTGTAGTCTTGGCTTCAGGAGTAGAACCCAGTAATTCATCTCTTACATGTGACACCTAGTGGTCATCCCAAAGAGTGCCCTGCTTAATGCCTGTCACCCATTTAACCCACCCCCTCACTCCCAGCAATCCTCAGTTTGTTGTCTGTATTTAAGAGTCTCTTATGGTTTACCTCCCTCTCTGTTTATATCTTATTTTTCCTTCCCTTCCCCTATGTTCATCTGTTAAGTTTCTCAAAATTTAGTGAAATCGTATATTTGTCTTTCTCTGACTGACTAATTTCACTTAGCATAATACCCTCCAATTTCATTCACATTGTTGCAAATGGCAAGATTTCATTCTTTTTCATTGCTGAGTAGTATTCCATTGTGTATATATACCACATCTTCTTTATCCATTCATCAGTGGATGGACAGCTGGGCTCTTCCCATAATTTAGCAATTGTTGATAGCACTGCTATAAACATTGGGGTACATGTGCCCCTTCAAATCAGTAAAAATTATAATTTTTAAAACTCGCCTGGTGTCACTAAGATTCAAGGGCCAAAATGCATAATTTAAGTATGTATCTGTATATACATAAGCATGTATATGAACTTAAGGAGCAGGTACCCCTGTGGCCCTCTTTCTAATATAACAGCTGTGTGTCCCAAAGTTCACAGCAACCCTCGGAAGGAGGGAGGCCAAACGGTGTGGTATGCCTTTTGCAGCTAACACACAGAAGCTCAGAGAAGGAGGTGTTGCAGAACAGGGGTCAGACCCTGCCTGTGTGGCCACAGGACATTATACTAGGCATGCCTTCCCAGATTCCACCCCTCCCCCATCCTAGACCTCTCACCTTGCAGACAAACATGATGGAGGGTGATTCTATGAAGTCTTTTAAGACCAGCTGGCCATACGAGAACTTCTCCACCTTCCCCAGGGTTACGAGCTTCCAGAGCTTTTCATCAGACCACGACTCAAACAGATCCATCTTCCTGAGGGGAAAATCCTGTTAGAATTCATTGGCCCTCATCACAGAATGTGCCCTGCTCTCAGCAGTTTCCAGAAAGGGAACAAGTTGTCTTGCTCTCTTGCAAGTGCCCGAGGTGGAGGATTTTACTTGCCCTCCTGTTGCCTCCCCTGGCCTGTGGCAGCGCCCTGGGGTTCTCTCCTCTGCTCTGCTTCTCTTCCTTCCACTCTTCCCTCCAGGGGCTTCTTCCTGGCTCCATCGCCTAACCTTGTACTCACTAGGCTAGTCTCATTCCAAGCAACTGAGAGTTCCTCACTCCAGCTCACCTACTATTCTGCCCCCAGCCCAGCAGTCCTGCCTTACCTTTGGTTTGGGCAGCTCACTCCAGCTTCCTCCAGCCTATTAGCTTCAAATATTCCAGGCTGTGGCCAGTGAATGGGAAACGTCTGGACTCCCCTCTTTTTTTTTTTTCCTATGACTGAAGGCCCACTCCACAGTGCCCCACCTTTCCCTGAGCTCCTACACCACCAGTCAGGGGCTGCCTTCCCTCACACACAGCCCCACAGGGGCTGCTAACAATCATCTCATATTTTCTCAGCTCCAACAAATTATGAGGCCAGAACTTGGATGACTCAGGCCTCATCAAGGGCACTGAGTTCCATCCACAACACCAAGGGGGAACAGGGACAGTGCCATGTCCAAAGAGGAAGGGTCTGGAGACACAGGAAGGAAAGCAGGGTCGCCACAGAGGGAACACCTATGGGGCCACACACTTCCCATAATCATCTCATTCAATCCTTATGATGATGTGGGAGAGATGAATCATTATCCTCACTTTACAGAGCAGGAGACTAAACTCAGAGAAGGGAGGTGACCCATCTTGGGTTACATGGTTAATAAGCCCAAGAGCTGAGATTGCAACTCAGCCCTATTCTTCAACTGTGTGAAGACAGGAAATGTTCCTCTCTGCAGGACCAAGTCCTCCCTTCGCAGGCCCCAGCCCCTCTTACAGCCCCTGCTCTCCCACTCCACTCCACCCCACGGGGCAGCCCTCTGCTCACCGCACTGCTCTAGAGGCGCACAACCCTACAGACTGTATTTTCAGGGCCAGTGCAGATACTTCATTTGATTTTCAGTCTTCTCCTAAAGACAAGTAACTAGAAATGATTAAGTGAGCACCTGCCTGTGCTTGGCACAATGACAACACGAGGGTTACCATGGTAAAGGTGCCAATCTGCCCTCACTGCCATAGTGCTTCCTGAGGGGTATATAAACTGTAAAGGTGGTACTATATGATCAAGGAGTACAGTTTGAGGGTGCCTGGGTGGCTCAGTCGGTTAAGCGTCTAACTTCAGCTCAGGTCATGATCGCACGGTTCATGAGTTTGAGCCTCACATCGGGCTCCATGCGGACAGCTAAAGCCTGGAGCCTACTTTGGATTCTGTGTCTCCCTCTCTCTCTGCCCTTCCCCCATTTGTGCTCTTCTCTCTCTCTCTCTCAAAAATAATAAACATTTTTAAAAGATTACAAAGAAATACAGTTTGAGGGCTCCTGGGTTGCTCAGTCGGTTAAGCATCTGACTCTTGATTTGGGCTCAGGTCATGGTCTCACTATCGGTTGTGAGATTGCGCTCCATGTTGGGCTCTGCGCTAAGCATGAAGGAACCCCAAGGAACCTCAGGCTTGCTGAAGGCACACAGTGAGTCACACTTGAGTCAGGGCTAGAACCCAAGTCTCCAGAAGCAGACATCTATTGCTTTTGCATTTCCCCAACTGTACCCATATGATTTTATTTTGGAAACTTTTCTGATACTCAGACAATCAGAATAATGACTGCACGGATGATTACAAAATAGAACTGGTCGAAAGAACAAATCAGGGGCATCTGGGTGGCTCAGTGTTAAGATTGTCCCAGCTCTTGATCTTGGCTCGGGTCATGATCTCATGGTTCATGAGTTCAAGCCCTACATCAGGATCTGCGATAGTGCAGAATCTGTTTGAGATTCTCTCTCTCCTTCTCTCTGCCCCTCCCCCCAAGTGTGCTCGCTTGCAAGCTCTCTCTCTCTCTAAAAAAAAAAAAAAAAGAATTACAGTTTGGCTGGGGCTTTAAAGAAACACAGGGTGGGGCGCCTGGGTGGCGCAGTCGGTTAAGCGTCCGACTTCAGCCAGGTCACGATCTCACGGTCCGTGAGTTCGAGCCCCGCGTTGGGCTCTGGGCTGATGGCTCAGAGCCTGGAGCCTGTTTCCGATTCTGTGTCTCCCTCTCTCTCTGCCCCTCGCCCATTCATGCTCTGTCTCTCTCTGACCCAAAAATAAATAAACGTTGAAAAAAAAAATAAAAAAAAATAAAGAAACACAGGGTGTGATAGAAGCACTGTGGGGCACTCTCTCTATTCTTGGGTGAGCGTAGATGGGGTTGGTTAGTGAGGTGGGGCAGTGAAGCCCAGGGACTTGTGAATTGAACATCCGGAGCCTTGGTTTTCTTAGCTATAAACCAGAGAGAACAAGAGAAACAATGTCACAGGTAAAAAGCCTTGATACAAGGGGCTTAGCACCCTGCCTGGCCGAGCAAGTGCTCCCTACATGTTAGCTATTCTATTAGTACCATCCCACAAGGAAGGGATGTTTGAGCTGAGACCTGAAGGTATAGTAGCAGTTTGCTAGATGGAGAAGTTGGGTGGGAGGTGTCTCCTGTCTCAAGAGCATTCCAGACACAAAGAAAAGCACCCACTATTTCCCACTGGGCCTAGGGCAAAGTCAGGCACCTAATAAACACCCAGGGGGAAGATGTTGGCTGATGATGGGAGTACCTAAAAAATTCAAACCGATGCTGAGCATCCTTTTGGAATTCCTGATCCAGCTTATTAGCAAAGAAATCTTCTCTGTCGACAACCAGGAACTCTGTTTCTTCCATACAGACCACGGTGGCCCTCCTTACTGAAGGACTCATAAGGCCCAATTCCTGTTGGGTGAACACAAGCAAAGGCAACTGAGAGGCTACCTCTGGCTTTCTACTCACAGCGTTGCCCACCACTTTCCTGCTTCCATCAGCCCCCAGAAATCTCTATTCCCCAGACTGCAGATTCCTGGCTGGCCCTGTGCTCACTCCCCACCTCTAGAGGCCCATCCCCTCCCTCTTAATATGCTGCCTGTGGAAAAAGAAGCAACAGGCTTGACCAGACCAGAGAGAGGAAGCTGGAGGAGCCTAAGGGGTCACTGCATCCTTGTGTTGTTATACAGGAAACATATTCCTTTTTAAACATCACAGACGAAGGAGCCAGGCTTGGACATCACCTGGTCTAGTCAATGGGCAGGTGACAGGTTAAGGGCGCTGGGACCCACAACAGGGCATGACTCACACAGGGGAGAGGGCAGGACTGGGCCTGGCTGTTCTACCAAGAGTCCCGTCAAGCCCCCAACCCTGCCCCAGGAAAACAGACTTTTCCCTGTACTCACCCCAAAACAGTCGCCCTTGTGCAACAACGTTGGGTGGGGGTCCAGGAAGGCACTGCTGCCATCCTCATCCTCAGTCACTGCGACTGTGCCCATGTAGATGAAATAAAAGCTGTTGCCCCTCTGCCCCTTCTTGACCATCACACGTCTGCGACCAAACCTGAGAAAAGCCCAAAGCCAGTAGATCTAGTAGCAGCAGGGAGCCTGGTCCCCTGGGAGGAGCTCTGGCCTGCTTGTGCTCTTTGCTTTGGAGCATGAAGGCACAGTCTGGACTAGAAGGGACCTCATAGCAGCCCAGGCCCAGCCCCATCAACCTTGACCTCTTCACTAATGCTCACCTAGTCGCCCGCCTCCATCAGACCGTAGCTTCCTGAGAGCAGAGCCTTTGTCAGACTGCTTAGACATACAGTAAATGCTCAGTGAACAGCAGTTGAATGAATAAATGAGCAAGTACTGAAAGTAATGAGTGAGTAGCTAAATGCTGAAGAGCAATGGCTTTCAAGTCAGACCTGGATCCAAGTCCTGATTCTGCCACTAGCTGTGTGACGCTGGGCACTCATATTCTCTCTCTGAGCCTCAGTTTCTCATCTGTAAAATACAGCTGAACATACCTAGAAAAGGATAGACAGATGGGTCTTGTTATAACCCCTAAGAGCTCACTACACAATTGGAAACCATTAGGGTAGAGGTGCCCAGGTCCAGAGCAAACTGGGAGTTTTCTCCTAAGCTTAGAGGAGGAAATTTTCTGTATTTCAAATGTAAGTTCAAATTTGACTTCTTTCAAGATTCATTCATTTCCTTCATTCATTCAATAAATTAAATAAATACCAGCTGTGTCTATCAGGCACAGTGAAAAAGGACAGATTTTGTTCTGAAAATTATGGTCATGTACAGGGACTAAAGTTTAAAAATGCTTTAAGAGAAGTAAGCACAGACTAATTCAGAAGCATGGAGAAAGGGCATTTAACCCAGCTTAGGAAAGCCACGGCAGGCTCGAGGACAGTGTCTAGAGTCTTCCGGGTAGACAGAGAGATGAGAGAGTGTTCCAGGCAGAGGGACGACCATGTCCAAAGGCACAGAGGTGGCTGGAAGCAAGGCGTGTTCAAAGGAATAACAGTAAGCTCCATTAGAAAGGACAGTGGAAAACAGGGAGGTCAGGGGAATAGTGGGAGAGAAATTTGGCTGGGTCCAACCATAAGAGAGTACAAAAATTAGGCTAACTTTGGATTTTACCCAGAAGGTAATGGGGAACATTAAAGAGGAGGTGGCCCAGACAACAAAGACTAGATGGGAGAAGGCAGGCACATTCAGCTAGGAAATGACTTTGGGGACGAGAGAGCATGGCAGTGTTCTGCCAAGAACAGACTCCTGGAGCCAGAGCAGAAAAACCCTCAGAAACTGTCTAGCTCAACCTACATTATGTGGATGAGGGAAGTGGGGCCCAAGGAACCCCAGACTTGCTGAAGGCACACAGTGAGTCACGCTTGAGTCAGCGCTAGAACCCAAGTCTCCAGAAGCAGACATCTATTGCTTTTGCAGCCAAGCATCAGGTCACCTTTTCCCCCAACTGTACCCTGATTTTATTTTGGGGAAAACTTCTTCTTGACTCTCAGACAATCAGAATGTCACTGACCCACGGATGATTCAAATGAAGCCAATCTGGTTCAGAAAGAACAAATCAGGGCATCTGGGTGGCTCAATTGGTTAAGTGTCCAACTCTTGATCTTGGCTCGGGTCATGATCTCATGGTTCACGAGTTCAAGCCCTACATCAGGCTCTGCGATAGTGCAGAACCTGTTTGAGATTCTCTCTCTCCTTCTCTCTGCCCCTCTCCCACTCATCCTTTTTCTGTCTCTCTCATTCCTTCCCTCCCTCCCTCAAAATAAATAAATAAACTTAAAAAAAAAAAAGAAAGAATGAATGAACAAACCCCAAGGCTGTGACTTGAAAGACCAGGAAGAAATATTCTCTTTCCCAAAGGACTGAGACTGGAAAGAGGAAAATTTGGAGCCATGGTAATAGTAGCCATCTTGCTGCTGTAAAGGAGAGTCTAGCTGAGAAAGTGGTTTATGAGAATGCCGTGTGAGGTGGAGAGAGATAGACAGACACTGGGTCCTGGTGACACTAGGCCCCTGGATTCAGCTGAGTCGGAAGCTAGAGAGCTATCCCAGCACTTTTCAGATACATGAGTCACTGATGCATTCCCTAGGGCTGGGTTTTCTGTGACTTGCAACTGAAAGAATTCTGTCTGATCTGCTAATTTCCAGTCCTGAAAATAATCATTGGGGTGCATGTGCCCCTTCGAATCAGCATTTTTGTATCCTTTGAATAAATTCCCAGTAGTGCAATTGCTGGGTCATAAGGTAGTTCTATTTTTGATTTTTTGAGGAACCTCCACACTGTTTTCCAGAGTGGCTGCACGAGTTTGCATTCCCACCAACAATGCAGTGGGGTTCCCCCTTCACATCCTTGCCAACATCTGTTGTTTCCTGAGTTGTTAATTTTAGCCATTCTGACAGGTGTGAGGTGGTATCTCATTGGTTTTGATTCATATTTCCCTGATGATGAGTGATGTTGAGCATCATTTCATGTATCAGTTGGCCATCTGGATGTCTTCTCTGGAAAAGTGTCTATTCATGTCTTCTCCCCATTTCTTTACTGGATTATTTGTTTTCTGGGTGTTGAGTTTGGTAAGTTCTTATAGATTTTGGATACTAACCCTTTATCTAACATGCCATTTGCAAATATCTTCTCCCATTCTGTTGGTTGCCTTTTAGTTTTGTTGATTGTTTCCTCTGCTGTGCAGCAGCTTTATATCTTGATGAGGTCCCAATAGTTCATTTTTTATTTCCCTTGCCTCCAGAGACATATCAAGTAAGAAGCTGCTGTGGCCGAGGTCAAAAAGGTTGCTGCCTGTTTTCTCCTGTAGGATTTTGATGGTTTCCTGTCTTATACCTATGTCTTTCATCCATTTTGAATTTATTTTTGTGTATGGTATAAGAAAGTGGTCCAGTTTCATTCTTCTGCATGTTCCAGTTCTCCCAGCACCATTTGCTAAAGAGACTGTGTTTTTTCCATTCGATACTCTTTCCTGCTTTGTTGAAGATTAGTTGGCCATATATATTTGTGGGTCCATTTCTGGGTTCTCTATTCTGTTCCATTGATCTATGTGTCTGTTTTTGTGCCAATACCATACCGTCTTGATGATTACAGTTTTGTAATATAGGCTAAAGTCCGGGACTGTGATGCCCAAGTTTTGTTTTTCTTTTTCAACATCACTTTGGCTATTTGGAATCTTTTGTGGTCCCATACAAATTTTAGGATTGTTTGTTCTAGCTCTGTGAAGAATGCTGGTGTTATTTTGAAATGGATTGCACTGAATGTGTCGATTGCTTTGGGTAGTATTGACATTTTAAAGATATTTCTTCCTCCAATCTATGAGCATGGAATATTTTTCCATTTCTTTGTGTCTTCTTCAATTTATTTCCTAAGCTTTCTATAGTTTTCAGTGTATAGGTCTTTTACCTCGTTGGTTAGGTTTACTCCTAGGTATTTTATAGTTTTTGGTGCAATTGTAAATGGGATTGATTCCTTGATATCTCTCTCTGTTGCTTCAATTATTGGTATATAGAAATGCAGCCAATTTCTGTGCATTGATTTTACCTCCTATGAATTCATGTATCAGCTCTAGCAGTTTTTTGATGGACTCTTTCGGGTTTCCATGTGGGGTGTCATGTCATCTGCAAAGAGTGAAAGTTTGACATCTTCTTTGCCAATTGATTTCACTCATATGTGGAATTTGAGAAACTTAACAGATGAACATAGGGGAAGGGAAGGAAAAATAAGATAAAAACAGAGAGGGAGGCAAACCGTAAGAGACAAATACAGAGAAAAAAATGAGGGTTGATTGGGGGGGTTAAATGGTTGATGGGCATTAAGGAGGGCACTTTTCAGGATGAGCACTGGGTGTCATATGTAAGAGATGAATCACTGGGTTCTACTCCTGAAGCTAAGACTACACTGTATGTTAACTAACTTGAGAATAAAAAAAAAAAAAAAAAAAGAAAGAAAAGAAAAGAAAATATCAAGTAGCCAAAGACGACCTTAACATTGCACTGATCATTGCACTGATGAGGATACTGAGGCTCAGAAAGGTTAAGCAGCTCGCCTGAGGTCGCACCTCAGAGTGGCAGCTGCAGCATTAAATTACAGAGCTTCTACCTCCACCTCCATGATTCCTTTTCTTTGCATGACATGTTCTGCCTGCTATGGAATCTTACTTTAAGACAGTGGTGACTTGCTCTTCTTCACTGAGCTAGAACAAAGCAGATGGTTCCTTCTGCCTGAACGTTCTTGTCTTACACCTCTACTTGTCAAATATACCTACTCAAATGACACCTCTTCTCTGAATCTGCTTTGGCCAAGCCAGCTGGAGCGTTCCCTCCTCTCCTGGGCTTATTACCTGTGAAACAAATCCTGCGTGGGTCATAGTCACATGTGATTATGTGACTGTGACCTCCACGAAGGAAGATACCAGTGCAAAGACCTCAAGTGTCTTCACATCCTAGATTTTTAAGACAGGCCTTACCTCAAATATTCTGCTGTGCTTCCCCTCTTAAGCCATTGAAATGCCTGAGAAAGACAATGTTTCCACACACACACCTCTTAGACTTTTCTAGTACCGGATATTTACATGGTGCTTTTTTGTGCCATGCATCCTTTGACAATCTGGTGAAGCCTTCACAGAATAATGTTTTAAATATATAAAATAAAATACAGCAGAATTACAATTAAAAATTACCTTTTAAAATCCAAATTGTGGAATGGTATAGCAACCATTCCACATATTCAGTGCCATATTAAGGCACTGAACAACCAGATCTAGCAGCAGATCTAATTACTACCGTAATTTCAAAGAGGTGAGGAATATAAATTATTTTTTGAGAAACCTGCAGTAACATGAACGTGTAATATTGGTGATTTCTTTTGGAGAAAAAGTCATGGGAATAGGTAATACTGTAGTGGTTCATTACATACATCCATGACTGAAGGAAATGATACATTTTAGTTAGGGATTAATGAAAACAGATACAAGTCTTTTTCTTATCCAAGTTCACACACTCTTACCCTAGGTTCCTATCTGGACATAAGACAATCACCTGTGATCCATTGTGGCTTTTAGGGCTTGGATTTGAGTCTCAGCTCTACTCCCTAATACGTGGGTGACAGAGCATGAGTCATTCTTACTACCTGAACCTGTTTCCTCATCTGAAAAAGGAGGGAATTGGACCAGATCCTTTCTGAGGTTCGTATCAAAGCCTTGCCAGATTCAGTGGCTCCTTAATTCTGGTAGACTCTCAGTAAATGAAGGAGATCAACTGTGCCACAAGAGTACCAAGGAGCACAAAGGTGAACTGACAGACAGCACTGAACTGACAGACACGGCTGAAATGCCATGGAGACGCTAAGAGACCTGCCATGGCCTTGTCAGGAAGGCTCTTCCTGCCCAGCTCGGCACAGGTGCCAAGGAGTGTGCCCCTCACTAACCGTTCAAAGCGCATGACTCTGGCCAGGAGCAGCTGCAGGGGCTCTGAGTAGTTGCGGTAGCTGTTCAGAACCTGCAGGAAGTTATAGAGGGCCTGGATCTCAGGCTCTGTCCTCCAGGAAGGCAGCTTCTGCATGATCTGAATGGCCCTTGGAGGAAGGTGACCCTGGGAAGAGAGGGCCAGAGTGACACACAACACCTAGCAGAATGCCCCAGGGGCCAGTGGGCAACTCCCCACACTCCTGCTTTTTATGCTTTCCCACTCCCGATACAATAGTGGCTGACACGTAATGAGTGCTTACTGTGTGCCCAGCATCAGGGTATGCATCTTACATGCACCATCTAACTGCACCTTTGCCCAGCCCAAGAAATGAGGCACAATTACTATTCCCATTTGACAGATAAAGACACTCAGGCAGGATCATAAGCTAGATCTGCTACATGCCCATGCCCGTATCTGCAACTCCAACTATACTGCCTGTGCCGTTCAGTGACCACTCCAAGTCAATATGGGGCTCCTGGGCTCCAGAGGCCTCTAGCATATGCATACTGCAGTCAGGGGAGACCTCCCTCGCCTCAGCCTATATCCTAGCATGCTATAGGAGACTAAGGAATAAAGAGAACCCACAGAAACTAACCCTGGTGAACCAGGACTCATGGACCAGAGGCGGACAGATCTACCCATTCACCCACCACTCCCACCTGCTGGGAAAGTGGTACTTGAGTTGTTAACACCCCTTCTGGTTGTCCATTGCACTTAGCATAAAATCTCAACTCCATACCGTAGCCGAGGGGCTCCACATGGTCTGACTCCCTACCCTCCCTACTCCTCACAAACTCACCTCCTGCCTCTCTCCTGTGTTCTCCAGTCTCTAGCTTTCTACCCATCTCCTGCAGGTGCCAAGCTCACTTATGTCCTGTGGTCCTTGCTTGGGTTGTCTCCTCTGTCTGGAATGTCCTTCTCCCAGATTTTCACATGGCTGCTTCCTCCTTTTTATTCAGTTCTCAGCTCCTATGTTACCACATCCTCAGGGAGTCCCTAATGGATCATTTGACCTAGAATAGTAGGCCCCCTTCCCAGCAGTCTGTAGTCTCTGAATCATTTCTTTCAAAGCAATTAATACTTTGTGAAATGACCTTATTCCTTTTTGTTAATGTGTTTATTATCTGTCATTTCCCCTTCCTACACACACACCACACACACACACACACACACACACACCCTGCCTCACTCACTCTAGAACTGCACTATCCATTAATAAGTAGGGCCATTATATTACACAAAGCTATTTTAAATTTTCCTAAACTAAATTAGATTAAAAAAATAAGTTCCTCAGGGGACACCTGAATGGCTCAGTTTATTAACCGTCCAACTCTTGGTTTCAGCTCAGGTCATGGTCTTGTGGTTTAGTGGGTTCAAGCCCCATGTCGAGCTCTGCACTAGCAGCACAGAGCCTGCTTGGGATTCTCTATCTCCGTCTCTCTCTGCCCCGCCTCCACTCACATTGTCTCTGTCTCTCTAAAAATAAACTTAAAAAAAAAATAAACTTAAAAAAAAAAAGTTCCTCAGTCACACTAGCCACAAGGGCTATATGTGTCTGCTAGCTACTATACAGGACAACACAGACAACTGAATGCTTCCATTATCTCAGAAAGTTCCATTGGATATAGGTGTTCTAGAATACAAGCCCCAATATAAACACAATAGTGGCTTCATCTATCTTATTTACCACACTCTAGAATAATGCCTCACAGGTAGTAGGCACTCAACAAAATAAAAATAAAAATTTATGGAAAGAATGAATGTAAGAAGACTTACATAAATGTAGTTGTCACAGAAGCCAAAAGAAAGTGGGACATGATGAGTTCTGGACCATAGATCTGAAGCCTTGCATGTTCACACACAAGGGCAGTGTTTCTCAGTGATTAATAATGCACAGGCTCTGGCGCCAGGTACCTGGGTTTGAACCTTGGCCTGCTCCTTCCTAGCTGTGTGTCCTGGGACAAGTCACTTCTCTCTGAGCCTTCCCTATCTGAGAACAGCAGAACCTAACTGTATAAATAGCAGAGCTAATACATGTAAAGGGTTTACAATAGGCCCAGCTCCCAGTGAGGACTATGGAAGTGTTGGCCATTTTTAAGGTCTGAATCCAATCTTCTTCCTTCCTAACCCTCTTTTGCTATCAATAACCCACTGAGATTTCTCTACAGGGTTCATTTATGACAAAACACAGATCCCTCTGCCTTCTCTGAACAGAACTGATTCTTTGGGCCCACGAGGGGCCCTGATTCTTTTAGGAAATCTCTCTTGCCACACCCAGTCTTCAGAGACTCCCTTCTCTGGATTCCTATAAAACTGATTCTGTTATTTAACTTGCCAGGTAAGTTACCTCACCTTAATTTCTACTTAGCTCCTTGAGGATCAGTGGGGATGTTATACCGCCTAGTATCCCCACAACCAAACACAGATCTAAGCTTAGACCTCAAAAAAAAAAAAAAAAAAGAAAAGAACAGAAAAGAGAAGAGAAGAGAAGAGAAGAGAAGAGAAGAGAAGAGAAGAGAAGAGAAGAGAAGAGAAGAGAAGAGAAGAAAAAAAGTCTGGGGAAAAGGGAGTATAATTCAAACAGGGCTGGGGAGACTTGGGTCCTACCTGCTTCTAGGGGTTCACAGCCTCCCTTGCTTCAGGCCAGCTACACCTCATTGTGTTCCTCTAGCATACAGGAAGGATTAAGGAAAAAAAAGAGGGACTGCCCATAATCCCACCACCCAGATTTAGCCACTAACATCTGGCATACTCATTTCTGGCCTTTTTCTTATGTATAAATAAAAATTTTGAAAATAATACTAGTTTTCCATTAAAAATCAGAACAATATACATGCTTACAATCTCCTTTTACCATACCACCTCCAATCCAAATGGGCTCTCCACCACCAGGGTTTGCCCTTTTTATGTATTAATATATACTTATGCATATACATACAGCCACAGTATAGAGGGTTACAGTATAGAGGGTTGCTTTATTTTTTATTTACATAAATGTCAGACTTCAGATATGGTTTCTGCAACTTGCTTTTTCCCCCAATTTTTTTCACTATGTTTTTGAAATGTACCCATTGTTTCCAATGTCTCACAACCGCTATAATAAACAAGGCTATGATTTTAAGGCTCTATGAGTTATGTAACCATCACCACAATTGATTTCAGAACCAGTTCATCACTCCATAAAGAAAACAAGTGCCCATTAGCAGTCAGTCACTCAAAGGGCAGGTTTATGTAATCAGAGCCAGAGTTAAATAACTCCTAGAGGAAGCTGAGAGGCCCTGCCTATACAATGGATGTTTTCCTTTGTGCCCTCTTCTCTCTCTCTACTGCCCTGCACAGAACTGCCTCCATCTTTGGAATTTTGTGGCTCTCAGAGTTTCTTCTGCCTCAAGAGTAAAGCTTGGATAACCGTCAATGTCCAGTGTCAGACACTGGCCAGTCTGGAAAGTTGGAAAAAAACAAACAAACCCAGAATTTGGTTGACTTAACATCATGGGGCATGAGAAAGTAGATCATGCCCAGGAGAAACAGGCAACAGAAGCCGTACCCTGGCTCCAAGGAGGGAGAGGGGGAGAGAGTGGCCCAGGTGGTCCTGATACCAGTTACAAAACTATTGTCCTCCCATCCCTGAGAGAAAAACCAACATGGCTACCCCAGGCCAGGGTCAAGTCAGGTCTCACTGGTAAGAACTTCAAATCCTTCCTATAAATAGGTAGACCCCTTTAAAATTTAAATTAAATTAAAAATTTTAATTTAATATCCAAGATTTGGTGGGAAGAAACTGGGAAGATAACAGTTCTTGAAATTCAGAGAACAAGTCACATGTCCAAAGCCTCACCCAGATATGAGTCATTCACTCCCCAGAATGGCCATCTGATACCCATGTGGGAGACAGGTGTACCCAGTGTCTCTCAGAAAACTTGAAAGAGTCAGAATTCACACATAAGCCTGGGCTTTTCCCACCACCCTGATTATTTCTCCTCTGCCTGGAGCTCTCACAGCCTCTGCTTTGCCTTTGGCTGTGTGTCCACAGGTCCAAGTACAGGAGCTCTTCCCTGCTGGTTCTGCTCAGCTTCTAAGGCAACAACAGGTTCAGGGGAGGGGCAGGATTCACAGCCTTGGAAAGTCAGGACTGGGATCTTGGGATCACTGAGATCAGCTAGTTTATAGATGAGGAAACTAAGAGGCTAGCTCAGGATGACACACTGGCTTGGTGGCAGAACCTGGACTAAATCCAGTTGTCCTGATACTCAGCCCAATGCTACTTCCAGGCCATCATGCAGAAAGAAAATTCCCAGCCAGCAAGGTCAGAGTTATACATACCTCCTCTGCAACAAAGTCCATGGTATCAAATGTAATTCGGCCTTGCTTCCTTTTCTGGGGGGGCGGGGGGGGGAGAGAGAAAAAGGAATGAAGAAGAAGAAAGAGAATCAGCAAGAGTGCTCCTAAAATCTTGCACTTAAACCCTCCTGCGTCCCCATCCCCATGGTAGTCAGGAAGCCACAGGAACCCTTCTACCAGCTGGCCCTCTCATGTCTACCTCAAAGGCCCAAATTCAGACCCAGACTTAGGCCCAGAATTGACAATATGTCATTGTAAATATGGGCTGGGGGAGGATAAAGAAAGGAAGGATGGAAAGAGAAAAGAAAGAGGGGAAAAGAAGCAAATGGGAAAGTGGAGAGGGACAAAAAGGGATAAAACGGAGGCACCGATGAAGCCAATCTTCACCAAGTGCCTATAAGGAGCCAAGCATGTGCTTCTTCCTTATTTATTCCATTTCATCATCAGGACAAAGCAGGTATTACTGAGCTCCATTTTGAACTCGAGGTGAGTGAAGGAACCTTCCCAAGGATCACACACTGAGTATACAGTCTTCTTCTAGAATATGGCCAGGAGGAGGAGGTGTAAGAGATCTTAAGCATGAACCAACCCAACTCTATCTCCTAATGGATGCAGGGGAGCTGTGGAAAGGTAGAGGAAGAGGCAGAGAGAAGGGGAAGGATATGTTAGGAGCAGCTGGGGAGAAGGAAAGGGACAAACAAGGCCCTGACCACCATCTGAGCCAAACCAGGACCCCCACGCATCTGTCTAGGTAGGCATACCTCAGGTCCTCCCCACCCAACTGCCCCATATATAGCTTGTGTACCTGTATGGTGCTTCTCAAGAAGGCCAGTGAAGGAAAGCAGTGGTACTTAGAAAGATATGAATTCACATGCTCTGATGAAAACTGGTCTCTCTACCCAACCCTACACTCCGGCCCCCCAGCTCTCTGCCCATTGCACATATGACTCCCATAGGCTGCCGTTGAGAGGCTTCTGCTCTGCTCAAGGCCACCCTGCCTAGGCAATGTTGTTTGGCCTCACACTCCCCCAATGACAAGACTGATTTGAGTCTTCAACTTCCAAATGCCCAGGCACCAGCTCAAGTCTTCTGGTAAACAGACTCCTGTTACCACTGCATGATGACACCCTGAGTCAGAATGTCCTTCCTGACAGCAAACCTGTCTCTCAGGTTCCAATTCTTCCACTCCATCCCCTCCCAACTTATGGCCCAACCACAGGGCAGAATCTGGCTGCAGACTCCGTTGGTTTGGCCAGAATAATGTCTTTAAAATATATGAATTTGAGGGGCACCTGGGTGGCTCAGTTGGTTGAGCTTCCAACTGCAGCTCAGGTCATGATCTCACAGTTTGTGGGTTGTCCCTCCCCTCCCCGCCCTCAAAAATAAATATTAAAAAAAAATTAATATATGAATTTGAATGTCTTTAGATAGGGCATTCTCTTCCTTTCTGCAGACCCAGAGGCCCCAACTCCCTGCTACATCTTAAACTCAGCCCCACATACCTGCTGGCCCCTTCAAGACCAATCTAAGACTGCATTTCTTTCACTCATCAGCACTGCCCATACCCCTCTCCTTCAGAAACCATTTGGGGCAAATTCTTGGACTGAATCACTGGGTGGATTTAGGAAGCAGGGCTGAATCTAGTCACTCTAGGCACAAAAGGAAAATGGGCAGAGTTCATCCAGGGATTGGGAAAAACTTTGGAGTCCTGGATGGTAATGAAGACACCTTTGGGAATCCAGAACAGGTTAACAGAAGGTGATCAACTTTTCTGAGCTAAATAGGACACATGAGATATCACTGGCATAAACTGCAACCTTCTAGAAAATCTAGACGGCATGGTCTCCAGAGTGAGCAGGGCCATGCATGTGTTCCCTTGTTTAAATGGGGGGGACAGGAAAGAAGATAGAGAAGATGAACAGTGGTGGGCATTCAGAAAACCCAGACTCTAATGAGACTTCTGGATTTCTCTGGCTCCTTTGATTCCCGCTGATATGGAGATAGCTTCTTCCCCACTCCGGATGTTTCTTTCTACATGGAGGTAGTTGCACTGGTAGAACACTACCGGCCCCTTTCTTGCACATTGAGAAGGAGTGACTTAAACTCCTTGGTGAATTTTGGAAAGAAAAACTGGGTGTGATCATTCCTTCTCTGTCCCTCTGAGCCCACATTCTACTCTGTCCTCCTCTGTTGTGAATGTGGGGCAGGAAGTCCTGGTCCCACAGTGGAGGCCTGCCTTGGTCCAGCACTGTCTCTGGGCACATAAGGTTGTCTAATTTGGGGATGTAGTTCTAGGTCATCTTCTCACTTGATGATATAAGTCACTTCTCCAATAGAAGTCCCATTGTTAACAAAAGTGACAGTTGGGTCTTCTATCTGTTTTTCCCTTTGTCTTTTGTTGGTTCAGAATATGGACTAGGAAGTGAGGTGCTATTTATTGGACCCCTCCCCTTAAGCCCTCATAATCCTGCCAAGGCCAGCTGCTTACATCCCAGAAGGAAAAGATAGGGTGCTTTCTGTGAGGAGTCTCAATGATCTGATATTCCCGAAATCCCCCAAGGCCTTGGCGGAACATTTTACACACTTGGATCATCACAATGATATCCTTGGTGAGCCGGTACAGCCCCTGTGGAAACAAAACAAACAAGATCGTAGAAACCATTTGTTTTTAACAGCCACCAGCACGCTGGACATTGCTAACAAGGTGAGATGGAAGAGTGGTGTGCCAGAGCCATGGTTATGTTTTCGGAAAGTTTTCAAGCCTGTTCAAATCATGTTGGTAGCCCAAAAATGGCCACAGCGGGGAGTATTTATGCCGCAGAAACAGATAACTACTACAAATGGGGGCACCTCCCTCCCCAAGAGCTGGTCATGTAAAATATTCACCAACCCAGCTCTAGTTATATACTAAGTCCTTCACTTTGGTCCAGAAAACAGCACAAATAACAGTAGGGTACAGTGATGCAAAGAGCTTGTATTTTGGAATTAGATGGATCTGAGGAAAGAACAGTCAAGCAGATGCAACACTGCTGGCTTTGAAGACAGAGGAAGGGGGCCGTGAGCCAAGGGATGTAAGTAGTCTCTAGAAGTTAGGAAGTCCAGGAAATGCATTCTTCCCTAGACTCTCAAGAAAGGAATGCATCTCTGTTGATACATGGATTTTAGCCCAGGGAGACCCATGCCAGACTTCCAGCCAATGTAAGATAATATAATCTGTATTAAGCCACTAAACTGTGCGATATGTTTTTTTTTAAGTTTATTTATTTATTTTGAAAAAGACAAAGACAGCCCAAGTGGAGGAGGGGCAGAGAGAGAGAGAAAGAGAGAGAATCCCAAGCAGGCTTTGTGCTGCTGGTATAGAGCCCAACTCAGGGTTCAAACTCATGAAACCGTGAGATCATGATGTGACCCAAAACCAAGAGTTGGACGCTTAACTGACGGAGCCGCCCAGGCACCCCTAAATTGTGTGATATTTTAGTTAACAGAAGCGATAGGAAACTAATATAATCACTCATCCAAGCTGGGCCATCGATTCCACGCATTCCTTGAACCTGGGAATTTGGAATTGGAACTGAGAACAAATCAGACTCTTTATCCCAGTATGAATTTGGGAGTAAGGGCAGTCACCCTCTGCCTGCCAAGTAAAAATACAGGGCATAGGGAAACAAGTTCAACACCACAGAGACAAATCCAGAATGTGAGGCAATCTACAAGTCAACTAACCCAGTTTCTTAAGAGACATACAAATAAATGTAAAGCATGAACCTTGATTGGACCCTGATTCATAATAACAAGCTGTAAAAGCCATTATTTAGGGACAAATAAGGAAATTGAATATGACTAGAGATTAGATGATATTAGGGAATTAGTGTTAATTTTCTTAGTATTATAGTGACATTGTAATTATGTCTTTATTTTTAAGAAGTGTCATAAAAAATGCATCTTCCTCTCAAATGATTCAGCAAACACACACCTATGCACAAACACACACACAAATATGTACAGTCAATGTGGCAAAATGCTGACTGTTAGATCTAAGGGGTGATCATTACATACTGCAACTTCTGTGCTTGAAAATTTCTATAATTAAATTCAAAAGCTAAAAACTTTTATTAACTTCTGTTAATAAGGACATAATAAATAAAATGAAAAGACAAACTGAAGACTGGAATATATTGGCCATGCACATAATCAACAAAGGATTACTATCCAAAATTACAAAGAATAGCTATTACAAAAAATTACTATCCCAAACTGTTTTTTAAAGAATTCTATAAATCAAAGGAAAAATACATATAACCCAAAAGAAAAATGAACAAAGGATATGAATAGGTAATGCAAAAGGAAAACTCAGATTACCTGTAAGTAATGAAAAGAGAGGGCACCTGGGGGCGCCTGGGTGGCTCAGTTGGTTAAGCGTCTCACTTCAGCTCAGGTCATGATCTCGCTGCTTGTGGGCCCTGCGTCAGGCTCTGTGCTGACAGCATGGAGCCTGGAGCCTGCTTTAGATTCTGTCTCCCTCTCTCTCTCCCCCTCCCCTGCTTCATGCTCTGTCTCTCTCTCTTTCAAAAATAAATATGCATTAAAAAAAATTTTTTTTTAAAGAAAAGAGGGGCACCTGGCAGGTTCAGTCGGAGCAGCATGCTAGTCTTAATCTCTAGACTGTGAATTTGAGCCCCACATTGGCTGTGGAGATTACTTAGATAAAAATTTTAAAAAAAAGAAGATTAAGAAGAAGAAAGAAAGAAAGGAGGGAAG